CCTGTGCTAATTCTTCTGGATATGAGCTGGTCATGAAAGTTGAGCTGCCTGTCTAAGACCAAACCAATAAACTTAGCATTGCTGCAAGAAGAGATCTCTTCCTCACCTATCAAAACAGTCAGTGGGACTTTTTTGTTTTATTGCAGTTTAGAAGAAGTTTGTTGTTTTGGAACCATTGCAAAGCTCTATTGGAACTCTCAAATGCTATTGTCTCTAGATGAGCCACGTCCTTAGCTGAGACACAAAGTGAGGTGTCATATGCATATAAACAAACATCTACATTTGAACTTGGATTATTTGATACAAAAGATGGCAGGTCATTAATGAAGTGAAAAAAGAGGATTTGGCCGATGATAGAACCCTGGGGAACTCCCCGAATAAGAACTTATTGAAAAAATTCCAAACCATAGGAGGCCTTGGCTGATCTGCATTTTCAGAGCTTGGCTATTGTTTTATTCATTGCATTTTACTACATATGCTGGTTGACAAGATCTATTGTACTGTATGTGTTTAGTTATCAATTAAGAATCTGAATTGAATCTGTATCAGCCTATGGTTACACGTCGTATACCTAGTGGACATGTGCCAGGGGGGGGAGCCATGGGGGCCTTAGCCCCTCCCCCCCGAGACCAGGAGAAAATTTTCAAAAAATGTATTTCATAACCATTTAATATTATTATAATTAGGTTTGTGTTGATACGTAAAGGGAAATCTCGGTACCATTGGTTTTTCGGACAAGTATCTGTACCAACAATCAAAGTTAAAATGTTAGTACGGAACAAAGATTTCAATAACAACAGGGCAGGAGCCTATAAGGGCCTATGTTTTGACGATGACGACAAACGATACGCCTGGCGGCATCAGACGAATTGCGGGCACGGCGGTTGTTACTTTCATTATACATTTATTTTTCTTACTGCATTCTCCTTTCAGCTGATTGGTTTTTGTGAGTCCACGTGATTTGCACACGTGTAGAGACTTTCAGAGCAAGAGAAACAAATTTTTCCAAACGCCCATTTACTTCACATCTGCACGTATATTTTTTCTGATGGAACCTGTCTAGATCACATACGATAGTCACTTTTGTCTCACTGGTATAAGTGATGTGTCTAAGGCCAAAACATAAACCAACATTAGAAAAGAGGTCACAGAATTCACGGGAACATCCCGTCAGCAACTGTTGTGATCACGGCAACATAGTTTTGTATTTCCTGCGATCGCGGTTTTATTCCTTTTGGTAATGAAAGTAGCACATAAAATATTCATGTGCTCTAAGGTAATAAATGGAAAAGACACATGGCAATAGGCTATTGGAGGTGATTTTTTCAAAATATAAAGTAAATTTAAAAAATATATAGTAAATTTCTCGGTTCTAATCAAAATTTACATAGTCTACTGACAATTAACTCTAGCTTTTGTTCAGTCTTCCGAATTCTACAACAATTCCCAATGTTTCCAGTATCGAGATCAGCTCAACATTCTGGTCCTCAGTCCCCATAACTTTATTTGATTTACAATTAATTATTACAAATTACAATACTTGAAAACAATACAATTTTCAAATTGCTTTCACAGATGCACCCTTAATAAATTGATAAACATTGACAGATATTTGTATATGTGTAGGCAAGATTACATTGCATATTTTTCATGTTTACAAGTATTTTTTACTAGTTTATTGTCTCATACAATTGTAGCAACATCCGTGACTATATTCTGCGGTCTCGGCGTCAGCGCTGGTCGTCTTTTGCAATTGCGTCAACGCTGGTTATCGGCTTTTTCGGCCACGTTTCGGATGACTGGGATTTAGATAATCGACGCTTGACTGTGGGGTTACTGATACAGAGATCTGATTTTGATAAGGATCAGTTACTGGTAACGGCCTTAAAAATGTGATGGCACACAGCTTAATGTTAATTTGCTATTGACTTTATATTAGAATTAAATACTCGAAGCCTGAAATGTAAACCATCAATCAATATTATATGTTACTGAATTATGAGTGGTGGTAGACAGTGTTGGATTTACGACTATGCCGTGGTTTATGACCACGGGGTATTGTATAATAAACGCCGCAATCGCTCGTGGCGATGATGATGATCTCTTGATCGCGGGAGTTGTTTAGGATTTGTCTTCAATCGTGGGGGAATATGATGATGTCTCCTTGACTGCTGGAGATGTTCAGGATTTATTGTTTCAGGGGTTTCCACCCCCTCTGACCTTTAAAACTTGATTTTTTCACAATCAAACATGTTTTTCTACAATTAAAAAATCTTGTTTATATGTCTATAAATAGCCTAAAAACACGAGTTTGTAGTTATAGTTTTCAAAATTTTCCCCCAGACCCCCCGTTGTTTCGGAGGTAAACAGCCTACAACCCAAGATTCCCGCCTCTTCAAATGGACCTGAGCAATATCTAAGTAGTTTGACCTCTTGCTACGCTCTTCCGACTCACCTTGTAATATTAATGACTTATCTGTAAAAAGCTTTCTTTTTGCTGATGACTTGGCCTTGTGTGTACGGGTGCGACGCTGCCTACAATGGACTGGAAAAAAAATTAAAAGTGCAGTGCAGTCGCAACCGTTTGCCGGGGATAGCTCAGCCTACAATGGCTGGGTATTGTTCCAGGGTCTGCGATAAGGTCAGGGAAACCACTAGGCCAATAGCCGGGTCTAACCGGTATAGGACTGGCTCATACACGGACACTGTGAACAAGTCAAAAACAAGTCACCAAAACAAACGTGCAATAATCACTACCAGGCCTACGCCGATTCTCCACTCTCCTAGGGGGTCGTTGCTGACTACGCAACTCGGGCTTCGTCCTAACTATCCAATAGTTAAGCCCAGAGTGCCTAAAACACGGTGAGTTACACGACGACTTGCCGATAAAAACCGCAACGCGAGTTATCAACAGGCGGGGTCTACTAGGCCACTATAATCCAATACAAGACTCTAATGCTCAAGCTAACAATCGAACAGTTCACTCAATAATAATACCAGATAACAATACAAGTGCACTATAGGTAGAGTGACTACACCACTAGTAGCTGGTCTCAATAAATACCAAGCCAAACAAGCAAAGCTAAATGCCAATTGCACTACTATCAAATTATTGAATTACTTAGTAGCAGATAAATAAATATTAAATACGTTCCAAACACTAGATAAATAAATATATTATCTGAGAGCCGGTACTCCGCTATCCAAGCTACCAAGATAACGTGTTGGATTACCAAACAAGCTGTTCAGGTTAAATTAAAATAATCAAATGAATAAACAATAACAACCCTACTACTGCTACTGCTACTACCAACTTTATGTTACTTAGCTGGGCTTCTGTTAATAGGCTAATAATATTAACTACTAGCCTACTGGCCACGTGTTCCCAACTACGCACGCTAAATCATGCAGCCTAGGTTTGTCGGGCCTCAGAGTTATTAGTAATATAACTAACTCTTGGTACAACGCAAAATAATAACTACTACAGTCAATAAATTATATTATTTGCGCTCTAGCACCTGCCCAGAACCGTCAGGAATACACTTTAATATTATTCCTGACTAATATAAATCCTAACTACCGTCAGGCTTTGACCAGCACGGTTACAACTCTAACTCTCGCAATAAAACCAGATATTAATATTATCAAACTAATAATATCAAGTCGTCCACTCACCACAAGTGGGTCACTGACTCACTACCCAACTTGACACCAACACGCCTTGAGCACCAATCTCACACGACACCGATGTCACCAACTCCACGTCTCACTCGACAATCACCAACCAGCTGTTCACTCACCGTAGGCCACGACTCGAATGTCTCTGTCCTAGACTGTCCTGAGAAACTAGGATATCCCAGGCTTATCGGCACTGATAAGCCGGGTCAAAGGGCGCTCGCTAGCTTCGCCGCCGCCGCTTGCTGATGCCAGCAATAGGTGCGCGGTCAAATAGCAAAAATTTACCCCCCTAGGAAAAATAACTCGTTACACGGGGTAACTCTTTGAATGACGTTACAGACACATTGGACACAAAATCTGCTGTTATTAATGGCAGGTGTAATGCAAACAAGTTATGTCTTAATGCTGATAAGACTCAGGACCTGACTATTAGTCTTAGCAGTAACGGTAATGATGTAAACACTCTGAAGTTTTTGGGTTTTCATTTGCAGTCAAACTTGAAGTGGTTTTCACATGTACATTTTGTAGCATCTAAAATTGTAAAAGGCATATTTATGATAAGAGCACTTAGGTCCACTGTTTCAGATGATGTCCTTATTTGTATATATTATGGCCACATTCACAGCTATTTGTCCCATGGTACCTCTCTGTGGGCCAACAGTTTTTATGCTAACAGGTTGCTTTTCACTTTACAAAAGAAGGCGGTGAGGTTAATTTGTAGTGTGAATAGAAGAACACATTGTAAGCCCCTTTTCGTGTGTCTTAACATTCTCACATTTCCATCCTTGTATGTTTTGGCAAGTTTGTTGTATGTAAAAGAAAACATTTCTCACTTTGAAAAGATATCTGATGTTCACAGCTATTGTACTAGAGCTAAAGATAATCTGTCTACACTAAGGCATAAGTATATAGCCACTCAAAATAGTTTTGAGTACCAAGGTGTTAAAATGTACAATTTCTTGCCTGCATCCATCAAAAACCTGTGTGTTTCAAAATTTAAACATGTTTTAAAAACTACTCTAACCCAGGCTTGCCTGTATAAACATGAAGAGTACTTTGGTTTAGAGTTTAAGTTTTAGTTATTTTAGTTGCCATCTTGATTGTTTTGTTTTTCTTTTTCTTTTGACGATTGTCGTGAACATTGTACTTAGTTATAACGACAATAAAGCATTTCATTTCATTTCATTCCAAGCAATGGCCCCCTCCGAGAATCTATGTTGAAGCCGCCCCTGACATGTGGTCAGATTTTAAGAAGAAATTTAGCCTACTACCCACAAATGCTAGACATGCTTTCAAACCTGATAATTTTTTTTTATTTTCAGAACCCAGACTTCTTGCTTAATTGACTGGTAAACATTATGTTTACTTAACACAGAAGAGAACCTCAAAATAACATGATTTGTAAGTAAAACCGATATAACTCAATTATGATATTAAAATGAGTTCATTGTTTCACAATGTGCTGTCAAGAAGCAAAGACTCGCTTCTTAAAGAATCACTACAAAATCAGTTGGTTGCCTGTGTAAAGGATATTCAGCTGGACCATGCTCACAGTGGAAAGTTTCAAAACAGCAATGAAGCGGCAGAAGCCTTTTGCACCGTGCTCGAGGCAATCTTCCTTCATGGCATCAAGGAATCACTGGTTGACAAAATGGTCTTGGCAATGGGGGATCCCGATACTAGACCTGAACCTAACTTCTGGCCTTTCCTTCTTGTGTTTTCTCACAGGGAACTCATTGACCAGGTAATGTTATGTAATTAAAATGTTCTACAACTTCTAAGGGGTATTATATAATTATAATTAGGATAGGGGTTGAATTTGAAAAGATTAGTTTTTTTTTGACAAGTCATTTATATTGTGGATGTTTCGATACTACCGATCTTCCAATACTTAGTGTGGAAACAGTATTGGAATTGCAGTATCAATACCAAAGGAATATCACAACAAATGTATGTTACCGTAAGTATCGAATAAGTAGGCCTACAGTATCAAATTAATTTATAAGTCCAAAATTGTTAATACCTTAAAATGTTACTCAAATAATACTTTATGACTGCCATAGATCATCGACTCTTGGATGAAAGTCTGAAAGTCTTATAAACCACTTTTTAAAATTTCAACCCACCCCTAAATTTGTAGGCTTAGATAAAAGCTGATCTTCACAATCTTTGAATATCTTGAATAACTTTGGTGATGCAATCAAGTTTTTTAGGCTAGGCTTAAAACTTATAAATAAATTAATGATGTGAAAATAATACATAGCTCACATAATATACTGCAAGATTAAATACATGTTTATTTTATACAATATACAGTACCAGTGTAATATATTCACATTACCTGGCTCATTTGAACAATTATCTAAATAATCTATTTAATGTTTATGTTTACTTTAAGTGTTTTATATTATTTAAAAAGTTAAATATGCTTCAACCAGCCAACATTGGTTTTATTTGTGCTTAGTAGGCACTGCTTCCAAAGAAGCAAAGGAATTAACGAATGTCAAATAAAATAAGTAATCTAGAAAGATCTGTTGTTAAAATTTATGGTGACTGATGTAAACACCACCACGGTGGTGTAGCCAGGATTTTGTTTGGGGGGCGGGCAAATCCGGAAGACATGAAAAACCCCCCCAGATAGGGGGAGGGGGGTCAGAGCCTCCCGAAATTTTTGGTATTTTAAATTGCTAAAATGTAAACACTTCTGAAGGTTCTAAATTAGTAAATAGTCTCCATAATTCTTTATGAACAAGTTACCAAAAGATTATCACTATTTAATTTCTATTAACTGATTTATAATTTTTTTTTGAATGCAGATATAGATAAGATACTATTTATCTATATTCCATAAGTAGGCCAAGTAAGGAAGTAATATACAGGGTGAATAAAAAGTCAAGACCCCTCCATCTAATATTTTTCCAAGTAAATATACAGAGATATCCTTTTGGTGGTCGTGCAATCTTAGAAGGAAGTTTCATTTTATGATTTTGAATTTTTTAATGTCCCCCCAAAAGGGGGGATTTGGGGGGCAACTCAAATATTTTAAATGTAAACCGCCTGCAAGAAATGTTAGAGTTAGATGTTAATTCAACTGGAACTTTACATTCCATCACTTTTATTTTTTTCATGGCTGTAAATTTTCAAATAACCTTCAGTACACTTAACCAGGGTGATGTCACACACTTTTTAACATGATTTTGAATTTCATCACCCACCCAAATAGGGTTGGTATAAAAACAATCAAATCCCACCAGCAACTCCTATTTGTTGGTGGGTGATGAAATTCAAAAAAATGTAAAAAAGTTTGTAACACTGTAAACTTACGATATTACTACTGAATATAAATTAAATGAAATGAAGTATGTTTATTGTCTTTTGAATTTTTACAAATTATTGACAATGTCATAAAATATCTAAAATTATAGCATTGTCAGGGATTGAATACAAGACAAACTAACAAGTAGCTAACTACACAAAAGTAGACATGTTACAATAGTTACATATATTAAATATTACAACTGATCTTTATGTTAAGAAAAATTTGTGGCATTTAGAGTAACGGAAATGATTGAAATGAAATATTCTTTATTGTCTTTAGAATTTTTACAAATTATCGACAATGTCAACAGCTAAAATTATAGCTTAGTCAGTGAATTAATACAATGTTTATAGCTAAATAAATAAAAGGAGACATCTTAAAATACTTATTTAAAAAATTACAACTGAAGAATCTTATTGTTAAAAAAGTCTTCCAAACTATAAAACGGGTTATTTGTAAGCCAACAATAAAATTTATTCTTGAAATCCTTTATAGTGTGTAATTTAATTATGGATTCAAGAATGTTATACACTTTAAGTAACAAAACTATGTGACTATTTAGAGTTTTATCAAACGATGGGATTCTGTTGATGTATGGTTCTTATTTCTGGTATTATGATTATGAGTATTGTTTCTAAATTTTAAAAGATGCTGATTTTCCAAGATATAAACTATTAAGTCGTAAATATAAACGTTAATAATACAGTAGTAGGAATTTGAAGATTTTGAAAAAGTGGTTTGCTGTGGTCTCTCGGGCCTTTATTAGATAACTCTAACCGCTTTCTTTTGCCAAACAAGAATTTCCTCTACCCTAGCACAATTGCCCCCAAAAAATCAGCCCATACCTGAAGATGGATTGCTGAATATGCTGTTCGGACATAATTTAGTGGAATGAATTTTTTCAGACAGCCTAGTAAAAATATTACACGAGAAAGTCTGGTATTTAAAAATGGTCTATATGTGAATCCCATGTTAGCTGACTATCAACATATATTACCGTACCAAAAACTTTGCTAAAAAAACTGTACTACCTTTATCACTGTTCTTTAACAACTGTCTTGAATTATAATTTATGGACAATATGATAATTTATGGACAATATGATTAGAGGTGAATAACATAAATATTTGTGTTAATTAAAAAACCCTCCAAAACTGAAACCTTGTCTTTTAAACCTTGGACATTTAATATAAATTATTCAGACCCTTCATAAAGGCGTACCATTATAAGCAATGACTTTGGATGTGTTAAATACAAGGACTATTTATAGGACTAGTTACAAAGAGATACAGGAACACTTTTGGCACTTTCACTTGTACTCTGCTTTAGCGCCTCACAAAACGTGATGTCGCCGGGCACTACACTATTACCTTGTACTACGGCTTCACTAGAGGAAAGGGGGCCCAGTGCAAAACAGTGGATGGGAATAAACAGGCATTACTCCTCACTGCACTAGACACATACACACCGCTGCTGCATTGATGCTGTAGGTCTGACGATATCTTGTGTTGCTGGTGATGTGTCCTGTCATCAGTCTGCTTGACGTTGCCAGAGGCTGACCTGGAGTTTGCTGGTCCTGACGTACCAGTTGCTGTAGCCTCTTCACAAAGTCGTAGTCATACAGACCTCTTCTCAGCCGACTGTTTACTGCCTCTTCATGGACTACTATTGTAATCTGTGCATCTGTCTCTTTTTGAAGCATTGTTAGGTTGCATACAAAGTGTTCAAGTTTTATTTCAAAGTCAAAGTCAAATAAATCTTTATTGAGACATACAACAATGTGTACATGAATGCGTCTTAATCTTAAACTATAACTAATACTAAAACCATTTTCCTGATCCATTTTATTTCTTTTTTACATATTTACATGTTTATTTACATATTTGAACATAGTGCAGTAAATTCTTCAAAGTTATAAAACTCTCCATTAATTAGAAAATTCTTAAGCTTTTTTTTGAACTTATTTCTGTTTTCCTCATTTCTGATGCTACAAGGGAGAGAATGAAAAAAATTAACCCCACTATAATCAGGACTTTCTTTAAATTATTCTTTTTTATGCTTTTTAATTATAAAATTTTGTATAAAATTTATAAAATTTGATCCATAGTACATCCCATTGGGGAGCATATAAGGTGTTTGAAGTTTCTACTCTTGAAATCTTAAGTCAAACCATGAAATGCTTTGTCATATGTAGCTCTTGAAGGTTTTTAAAAATACTCTTCCTTCGTCATTAAACTATAAATACCAGATGTTTCACTAATTTTTTGATATGCAAGATTGGGTTGGATTAAGTCAGTGGATAATGGTTTACCAAAGAATTCCTTAAACGTCACCTTCTGCCCTCCTTGAAGTGCCTTCTGACATATTTTTCTCATGGTACATGTCTGCTGAAATACAATGCGCAAATGAAAAAAAATTCCTGTTTACTGTAGTCAGCTAACATTTTGACTATCTGTTTTCAGTTTGAGTTTAGGTGTAATCCGTTCCTAGCCAATGAATGTGTCTACACGCTATAGGTTAGGAACCTTAGCGTTTACCGTAAACCTTTACAAAATTTCTAAAAAGAGGGGTGGTGGGGGGGAGGGGCGTGTAAATTAGGCCAAAAACCGGTTATATTTAATGAAATAGGTTATATGTACATAAAGAAAAGAAGTAAACAAAATATAATTATATAAATAGGATTTTAGAATTTTCAGTGTACCCTCCCCTTAATTCATGATTAAATATTGAGAACTTGATGTTATTTTCCAAAGACAAAGCCAATAGTTCTGAGTTACAGGTCTCAATAAACATATTACAAAAAAAAAAAAAAAAAAAAAAACAACAACAAAAAAACACTTTTTTACACTCCATTTTGCAGCAAACCTAAGTACTAGTTGTTAAACTAATTCTATTTAGGGAATAAATGTGATATTTTTAAGGAGACATTTTGGTGTAAATCCAATCAGGCAAATGGAAATTCGCTTAGTCTGCAGGTTTTCTGCGGCCGGGGTATTGTTATTTTCTCATAGTCATTTTGAAGAATTTCCAAGGAAGTTTGTAGGCTTTTATTTTCTTTTTTAAATTTGGTAAGTTCCTGTTAATGATCTGTGTATGGTATGGTAATCTTGAGGAACTTGTAACAGTTTTTCTTTTTCAGCGTTCTTTTCTTGTAATTGGAGGATTTTTTGTTCTTTTTCCATTAACATTTTTTCCAAATCTATGCATCTATTAGTGAGAGCACTGAGTTGCAAACCAGGATCACTGTCTTCAGTAGTGCTAGTTTCAGAATTTTTTGTGATGGAATTTTATTTAGGTGTTACTTTTGGTTGATTTATAAAAGAGACATTTGGTGTATTTAAATTTATCAGGGTTGAGGTTTTATTAGTGGGGTTTATCAAGCTCAAAGATTTATTTTTCTTGTTAGGGGTTGGAGCAGATAGTGAATCTTTCTCATATTCCTTACCAATCTCTAGCAGAGATTTTTTGTAGCTCTCTTTGTGCCTAGTTGCTACTTGTTCTAAAGTGTATTTGATTTTATTTTTTGAGTAGTGACAAATATATTTTTTCCGACACAACCAACTTAATTTGATCCAAAGTAAATTACACGAAACTTGTTAACATTGTTACAAGTTTCATCTATAGCAGTAATTTTTGCAGGCCATAAAGGGTGTCCTCTGACTCTTGCAAAGACTAGATTATTTACAAAGAAATGTGCTTCCTTAGACATTGTTTATGTATGTGAAATGAGTTTACAGTACCTATTTAATTTGTTTTATGTAATAAAGACTATATATTCTTGAGATGCTATAAAGGCTAAAAACTAGATTTAGGTGTTATCAGTAAGTATGGTTATTGACTAGATCTTAGGGTCGACACAGAACTATAGAAGTGAGCACAAAAGTCTTATCATTGGTGATGGATAACAAATCCTGATTAGGTTTAGGCTATAGGTGCCCTGGAACAAGTAAGTAGTGCCAGCTAGTTATCTATTGCAGTGTAGTTGTAGTCATTGCAGTGCAGTTATTGCTGAGATCATTTACTTCAATTACAACTTCTGCAGTTTTCCTTAATTACGAGGGCTATCCAGAAAGTAGATTACGTTTTTGTCTGTATCCGCTAGGGGCGGGGCTGTGCGACAATCTTGGTGTCAGTTCGTTATGTAGCTCAGTCAGCATCTAGCCGTGCTAGTAAAAGGTTGCTGCTGTACTCCGTTGAGTTGCTGTGACAGTTTAAAATGTCTGTGCTAATTGAAAATGGCGCGAACTGTGAAGTGCGTGCAGTTATAAGGTTTTTGACTGCAAAAAACTGTGAACCGATAAAAATCTATCGGCAACTTTGTGAAGTGTATGGGGAGAACATTATTACTGAGGGTGGAGTGCGACAATGGGTCATCAAATTTAAAAATGGCCGAACTAACGTTCATGACGAAGAGCGAAGTGGAAGACCCAGCATTGTGACTGCTGAACTTGTCGAAAAAGTCAAGATCATCACCGAAAAGCTTGGTTACCACAAGTTTTGTGCAAGATGGGTGCCGAAAATCTTGACAGACAGTCACAAAAATCAAAGAATGGCTGCAGCACTAATGTTTCTGGACGCTTACGATAAAGATGGTGACTCACTACTCGATCGCATCGTTACTGGTGACGAAACATGGGTCAAACATGTGAACTGCGAGACAAAATTGCAGTCAATGCAGTGGGGGCACACAGATTCCTCCCAACCCAAGAAATGCATACAAACGATGTCGGCAAGGATGGTGATGGCGACTGTTTTTTGGGATAGGGAAGGTGTAATTTTTGTGGATTTCCTTAAAAGAGGCACTACAATAAACTCTCAAAGGTATTGCCAAACCCTGCCAAACCTTAGAAGAGCGATACAAAACAAGCGCAGGGGAAAGTTAAGCTCAAAGATCCTGTTGATTCACGAAAATGCCCGGCCCCACAAGGCCAATGTCACTCGCGAAGTTCTTGAATCTTTTAAGTGGGAGTTGTTTCCTCATCCGCCGTATAGTCCCGACCTGGCACCGAGTGACTTTCACTTATTCCCAGCAATGAAGAAGTGGCTGGCTATGCAGCGTTTTGATGACGACGCACAGCTACAAGAAGAGGTAACCATGTGGTTGAAGACGCAGGCGGCCAAATTCTACGACGAGGGTATTTCTAAGCCTGTTCATCGCTACGACAAGGGCCTTAATTTTAAAGGTGATTATGTTGAAAAGTAGGGTTTAAGTGTGGCTTTCAATTGTATGTAATAAAATATTTTTCCAAGACTTTGTTTATCCTTAATTCCAAAACGCAATCTACTTTCTGGATAGCCCTCGTATTTTTCTATTGCCAAATTGAACTGATTAATAATTTTTTTTTTTAAATCAGTACTTTCCAAATTGCACAAGCTTAAATATTATAGGCTTCTTCAATATTGCAGGATTACCCTTTGTAATTAAATAAAGCATTTTTACTATAAGAATTAATTATTATTAGTCATTTTAATAAAACAGGCTTACATTAAACAGATTGCCAAAAGTTGGTAAATTGGTAGGCCTATGATTGCACAAACTGAGAACTATTTTGAAATATTTTTAGCTCACAGATATAAATAATAAATATATTTTTATTTATCTGTCAGTTTTTCTCAGCAAAAATAATATCTTAAAGACACTAATCTAGCATGGTTGAAGTGAGGTTATTTTTTGCCACAAACTTTAAAGTTAAAACATGAATGTCGATGTAGAAGTTGTAAATAATTTATACACTCAAAATAATCTTGAAACTTTAAAAAATCACTTTTGATAGTCTGTTAAACACAATTTTATTGGGGAGAAAAAATCACAGTGTTAAGTCTTCTTGTAAAATCATGTCAACAATTCTGAGTGTCCGATTGAAAAAAATGTCAACATTTTTTTATTTTACAGATCACAGGACTTAATTTTATCTCAACTGACGTCGGGAGGTGCAGAGCATGGCTAAGACTTGCCCTCAACGAAGCACTACTGACAAGTTACATGCAGTCTATGCTGTCTCAGAGAAGCTCCCTCAGTTCTTTCTACAAACGAGCAGCCTATCTTCGAGATAAGGAGCTTTTAGATATGTCTGTTACACTAGTATCCGGTGTGGAAGCTTATCCTTTCAATCTGGCCAGCAACTCCAGTCTGTTGAACATGTGGACTAACCAGCCGTTGCTAATGGCAGGTATTTGGAGTCCAGCAATGAAGAACTGCCCGATCTCTAGTGGCACGGATATTGCCCAGTCACTTACTAACGAAGACTTACGAATCGCTGAAGATTCTGTCAGTTCTGTTGTATCTGGTTCCTTTTACGAATCCTCTCTCGGTTCTAATCCCTTTGACGAAAATGAAGCGTTAAAGATAATATTAGGCTGCAAGACTACTCAAGGTCAAGATGGGTTTATCAAAAACGATATAGAAAGTGGTTATGATATTTCACACAGTGAAGAGAATGCTCAACGTATGGATAAGTGGGTAGAAGAAACTAAAGTTAGCTCTGGTAAGTTGTTGTTTTCTTTCATAGAAATATAACGAATTACATGGCCAGTTGGCCAAAAAACTTAATATTTGAATGTAGCTACTTATGACTTGTACAGTACTTGTAACACATTTTGAACTTATATTGGAACATATGGAATTTGTTTGTCGTTTAGCTGTTGAACTGTAGACTTGTGAAAAACAACTAGACAGATGGCCCCAAACAAGTTATGTAAACAAATTTTTTCAAATCACTTCTTTTAAATTAATAGGTAGTAATTGTTGTGCAATACCAGACCACCCCATTCATTTAAAGCTATATTTTATCACTAAAAATTATTCCTTTCAAAATATCTTTTTTAGTAAGGGCATATACTGCTGTATGCTTTAACCCTCTCTCTGTTACACGTCGGTTTTCCGACGCATTTACCCCATTTGTGAACTGTCAAAGTCGTAATTCCGAGGCATTTAGCAAGCATTCACTTAGATGCTCACCGTTTGCATAATTTTAATAATTTCGGCATGATTTTTTCACTATTTTAAAGTAGAAATCATAAGCTTTCTTATAGTATCACTTTGTATGTTTGGCGACGAATGTTCTTATTATTTAGGTAGCTGTGTATATGCGATGTATTCAGCTGTCAGACCGGCAATGTAGGTTAGTAAGGTTAGTTCTGTGTTGTTGCCTGTGTTCAACGTAAGTTTTTTGTACACAGTGTTAATGTTTTTAGGGTTAGACCTTAAACATTGTATGTTTTTTAAAACTATATTTTATCTCTATCTTTGCTATATTGAAACTTTTTCTTTGTGAAGTGGGTTGAAGTGGTGACAAATAAAAACTTCCATAAATGAAAATTCTTTATAAACAACTTAGGATTTATATGCTGAAATTTTTTTTAGTAGCAGGTTAGTGTTATTATTATCATATATTAGTATACTCCTAAATTTGGTGAACAAAGTAATATACAATAGTTCATATTTATTCCTAATAATAAGTTTTAAAAATTGTAAGTAAATAAACCCTGCAAAATTGCTAAAATTCGTGTGACATTAAAGGAGCTTTTCTGCGACAGAGAGAGGGTTAAAACGTTAACTTATTGTTTTTAGACTTAGCCTAAATAGAAATGAGTTAAATACCGAGTGGCAACAATTAGGGACAGCAAATTGAATTTTCTGTGGTTTTGTAGGAATATATCGACAACACAATGTAATGTTTGTGCATTATATAACCTCATGGTTTTCACCTACCCGCCCCTACTTCCAATGGGCAATTGCCACCACTGGAACTACCCATTTACTATCCAAACTGCTTCAAAACTATAAAGCTTTTTTTATACCTTCGAAGTATTTTTAGTGTTCATTATTACGATTTCAGGCAATGAAAATCCCATGGAAGAAAGTAAAGTGGAAGATACAAAAGAGATAGAACAAAGCAAAAGTAGTAAATGTGAGTCAGAACACTCTAAAGATAAAGTACGACATGAAGAATGCATCAAACCAACAGAAAACAAAGACGAGAAAAAACAAATATTGCAGAGTTATAATTCATTAGTAGAAAGCTATAACAAATTATCAACTACATCCTCCAAAGTTCCAGATCTACAAGATTTACTACAGAAATTCCAGTCACCCAATGATACCTCTCCATCTACCTCTGAACAACCATCACATCCCACCAGTGACCCACTCCTAGTAAGTAGGATTGTGCCTTGATTTTAAACATGTTTTATTTGAGCATATATCTCTATTTTATTCTCCGTTTCTCGTGACATCATTGTTGGGTAAAGATGAAAACAATCTATAATTTTCTCCCCTTAGGCAGGATCTAGGAACTAAAAAAACTCTTTACGGTGGCGTCAAAAAATGCATAACCCAAAAATTAAGGAAAATAAAATCAAAATCAAAAGTGGTTTTGTTACGTAGTAAAATGTTCTTCTGAAATATATTTGGATAATACATATACAGTATTAAAATACCTCCGCCACATCCAACCTACAGACTTTAAGCTAAAGAGAATTTCCCTTTACCTGGCTAGATTTTCACCAAGATTTTCCCTTCATCATAATCATACTAATTATATTTATTTTGTAAAATGTACATTTTTGTTCATGATACCCTTAAAACTCTCGATTTATTTCCTATTTAAATAACATTTTTTAATGAGTTCTTAGGGTTGCTGCTACAGGGAAGGTAATGAGGGGTGTTTCTTTATTGAAATATTGACAGCTTAATACAAAATAAACAAAATTGCCAAATTTGATAAAAATCATGCTAATATTATAAATGTAAAAGTTTGTGTGGTTTGTTTATTTGTTTGAAGTTCAAACACGCATTAACTAATGGTCGGATTGGGCTGAAATTTGGCATGATGAAAGCGTTAGCTCTCATTCCCGATTAACACATAGTTAAGCCTATTCTCATCTCAAAATTCCTTTTGGGCTCCGCCCCTGTGGCTCTGTCTGGAGTTTCCCATGTTAACCTTATGAGTTAAAACCTTACGATATTAAAAAAGGAATTTAAGAATTTTAACAGTGTTTTAAACTTAACAAGTTAGTTCTGTGATGTTCAATAGTATTAACAGGTTACTAGGTTCACAAACTATGGTGTAGCATTATTAATTTTTTGTTTGAATTTATGACAACAATTAATTGAACTAAGGAGAAACAAAAAGCTGTGATAGGTACACAATGAGAACTGTCAAAGTAGGATTGTTTACAGTAATGTTTGTGTTTTTAATTTAATAAACAATTTGTGATATCCCCACAATAGTGTTTTTTTTTTTTTATTTAATTTGGACTTTATAAATATGATTAAAAATGTGCAGTGACGATAAAAGGGTTTGGGGGGATTTAGTTGAAATGTACAGTATGCCGTGCTTATGGAACAAACGAAGCAACAAGTAAACTGTACAGCATCAAACACTTGAGGCAAGAGAGTTTGGGTAGTTTGCTGGAAAACTCCATGAAATTGAACCGCAAGCTACGATCAAAGTTGTAAAGCAGAAGATCGATTTAACCTTAGGTCATGATACGGACATGAATTAGAAAAATCCCTTAAATAGTTTATAAAATTCCTCGGCTCATTTCCTTTAAGTTCCCTTAACAGTGTCATGTGGCAGTAATAAGCACGTTCACGCTATCATCTCTTTGACCTTACCCATAGTTTTTTTTGCGAGGAAAGTTGTAATTTTCAAGATAGAGGAAGCCACTTGAAAGTGTGATCTCACTTGCAAGCATTCCGTCCCAAACTGAAGTGTGAAGGCCTGATGCTAACAAAATAAAACCAAAGCTACTCTGCAATGAAGATTCTGCTGTCGGAATGGTGGTAGGAACATTGATTGGATCGTGTGTGGTAACTCCAGACTTGACTGACTTGGTAGATGTAGACCGGAATGTCCGTGTATTGGGGGCCTCTTTTTTAAAAATAAATACGCAAAACAATAAATACCTTAGTACCCTGAAATGCCTTCTTTTTTGTGGTTTTTTGTATTTTACGTATTTACATATATATTATGAATCTGAAAAAAGGGTGTTTTTGGCCTCTGGGTACCTAAACGCAAAAGTAAATCGTTTCCAGGTCCAGTTCTTAACACGAGACCTGCGGTAATAGCTTTCATTCAACTTTTAAGCGTACATGACAGATACAGAGCTGCAATTTGTATCATTCTGTTCATAAATGATGCCACTAAGTGGTGAGGAGCCTCGTTGCGGCTTATAAGCGAACTTCAGATTCACACGCAAAACTAGCCCTTCCTTTAAAAACCGCCCTCCTATATTTGTTTTGTCTGGCATGTTGAAAGGGCAAGACACACTTTTTAGAGGTTATTAACTCTTTACATTTTGGTGATGTTGATTTTTTGTCATATCATGCGAACTCAGCATTTTAGCGAATTTCCCATATAGGGAATTTTAGTGAATTTCCCTTATAGGGAATAAGCTATTACCGTAGTACTCATAGTAAGACCTGGACCCGGGACCAATTTACTTTTTCGTTTTGAGGTCCCTAGAGACCAAAAACACCATCCGTTCAAATTCATATATATATATATATATCTATGTATATTTATATATGTGTCCGCTAGCGCGATAACTCGAGCAAAAATCTGATTTTGATGAAATTTGGTACAAACGTGTAAACCTACGTGTATTCCAATGAGTTCGCGAACCAGGATGATCAGGCTATGGGAACAGGGGTTTATGGGGGGTTTTATGGGGTAAAAATTGGGTTTTCCCATTTTTGATCCTAAAGACATAAAATTTAGCAATTTCTTTCTAAACCATTTTGTAGAGCTTAAGAAAACAAATAATTTAGTATATTGAAGCTTTATTATTCGCCGAATGGTTACGGAGAAAATTCCAAAAATCTGTAAATTTAAAATTCCCATGTAATTCTTATGGAGAATATGTAAACTGTTGTAGTTTGCTTGTTTATGAACATATTTTGATCAAATTTGGAAAATACATTCATTTCATACTAAACTATTATATTTTACTAAAAAACACTTTTTTACTCTCCCTGTTGCAGCAAACCTAAGTACTTGTTAAACTAATGTTATTTAAATAGGCAGTAAATGTGATTTTTTAAGGAGACATTTTAGTGTAAATCCAATCAGGCAAATGGAAATTGGCTTAGTCTGCAGGTTTTCTGCTGCGGGGGTATTTTCTTTGTACAGTAATATCAGAAGATATCGGATATTGCTTTTGAAGAACAGTCTTGTCATTATTATTTAAGTTTGTTCTGTCACAAAATTATACTTTTTCCACTTTTGAATCAACATACTGTTTTTTCTAGTACCTATAATATTGGTTTACAATATTGATAAATATAAATCCTATTTGTATTTTTAGGAGGAGCCAAATGAAAAGTTAGATTTTGAAGTGGTATCTGACAACATAGAGCAAACCGAAATGCCTGTAAGTACCTTATGAAAATAATATAAATACATTTTAACTAGGGTTGTTGGGTTACAAAATTGTTTACAAGTAGGCTCATCGTAACTATAAGGGCTTTATTAAAGAATACATTTTCCTGATTGTTAGATCTTTAGCCCTTACAATGCAGACTATCCACACCTTAATTTTTCTGGGCTGAATATGCTGTATAATCTGTGAGCCTACAACTGCACTACCTGTTGAAGAAATAAATTCACAACATCCTTGTCAGAAAAAAACTGACACATTCCGTTTTCAATTTTGTATTTTATGATTGTTATTATGTACATTCTTAATTCTTTAAAAAATTTACAATCTCACATGTTTACTCTTACAATAACCCTTGGATACAAAAACAAAAGAAGTCAGAACTTTGGTGCAGCAAAAAAAAAGTAGAGAAGTGTTGTATGAAATACAATACTTAGCAGCAATCATGCACCTAGCAGGCACCCTCTGTGATCCTACATTTTACTATTTATAACTGTATGTGTATATTCTTAAACAATTAACTTCCAAATGTAATGATAATATGTTGTCAAATTTCATTCATTATTGGAGTTGACCCGTTTCCAACAATGGTCTTAAAAAACTGACCATGTTTTTTCAAGTTAAGTACCTAGCTTTTTTGGACTGGGATTATTTATGAATTCGAATAGCTTAAAGTTTCAACAGAACAAAAAGATATAATGTTTTAAATTAGGTTTACCTTTCTTGCGGTTTCCTGAGTTCTTAAAGGTAAGATGTTTGTTGAGACATTCACACTTTAAACTACAGTGCACACCGGAGCCCTAGTTATAAAAGCCCCGGTTATCCAAGGTCGTTATAGACCGAAATATATATTTTTTATTTTCATTCAGAAAATAATAATAATTTTACTACAAGCATGTTTCTGTTTGAAGAAAAGTGAAAATAGTTAGTAATTTGTGATAAATTGTTAAAACGAATTCTTGAAATAAATAACCAATAACCATTAATTATAAGATAACAATGATTTACAATAACCTAGAAAATGAAAATCATACAGTCAGGCACCTGTGGATTTGGCAAGCTGGACAACTTTTTTCATTACGATGAACACTGTTTTTTTTCATTACGATGTTTTGATACGGGGTGACCCAAAAAAACAGGGACAATTTTAAAATGTTATTACTCAGCTGTTATCGTCCTCGCCACCCTAAGTTGAGGCAGCCAAAGGCCGCACTAGATATACGCCGTGCGGCCTTGGGCTGCCTCAACTTAGGGTGGCGAGGACTATATAACAGCTGGAGAGTTCCTTGTTGTGGCAAATGAATGTTTATTCGATGCCATTTGGTGTATAGTTACCATGGATCATCAATGGTTACCACAACATCTTCCTTTTGTCATAGAGAATTTTTTCAAGAGTAATGTGTCCATCATTTCTACTGTACTCAGTTTTGTGTTCACTTCAATGTTGGCCGCAATGGTGACACCCCAAACCAAAAAAAAAACTACTCAAAGATGGGTAAGCAATTTCCTGAACACGGCTTCTGTTCTCTAAATTAAACCTATGCAAATTTAAATTTAAACGCAATGTTCTGCAAACGGATGACTTAAGACGCTCGACGCTTAGGACACGCAGCACACTCGCGCGAACCATTTTAATGTTTTCCGGCGTTCGATCAGTCCGAGGTCTCCCACTAGGTTTGATCTTGAGTGCAGAGGCCGTGTTCAGGGAATTGCTTACCCATCTTTGAGTAATTTTTTGGTGTGGGGTTGCACCATTACAGCCAACGTTGAAGTGAACACGAAATTGACGTTGAGTAGAAGTGATAGAAAAATTATTCTTCAAAAATTCTCTAGGACAAAGGCACGATGTTGCGGTAACCGTTGATGATCCATAGTAACTATACACTAAATGGCATCAAATAAACATTCAATTGTCGCATCAATGAACTCTCCAGCCTTTATAACAGCTGAGTAATAACATTTTAAAATTGTCTCTGTTTTTTTGAGACACCCTTTATTAGACATAATTGTGTCAAGTTACAGTTCAAGTCAAACCCCCCCCCCCCTTAAAAAATTTTATTGCTTTTCAAACTATAAAGATCCCCCTTATTGTTTTGTTCCAACTACTGTAGTATGTATTGGCTTAGCATAATTCTAATAATATTGTTTTTGAATTTTTTCAAGACGATCAAAGAAGTGATAAATATGTTTCTATTATTTTTATTTCAAACCCAAATTATATTTAACAAGTTATTTTTTCATTCACTATGCATTGTTAAAAAATATTTGACATCCTGATATGATACTGTAACCCCTAACCTCAAAATCTGTGCCGCCTACATTCGAGATTCTTGCTAACCAAGGTAGTCTCAATCCCTAGGACCTTGGTTAGTTGGGAGTGTAATTCACTGTAGAATCTTGGTATTTGGGAGATGGCTACGTTTTTTAACTACCAAAAGTACTGGACGATGCTTTTTGTTTTTAGCAATCCACCTTTTGTACAAGCTAAAATTCAATTGTGGAAGTTGGGCGAAGGTAAGTGGTCAGGACTTTCAATATCAGGCTAAACGACAGATTACCAAGATTCGACAATTTATTTTTAACGTAGAAAGCCTAGCCTCTATTTTAAGAGACCTTTAGTAGTTAAGAAGTTTAAATGTCTAAACACTCATCCATACTCTAAAGTATATTTATGCAAAACAACCAGATCCATTGATCTTAGGATTGCTTATAACATGATTATTTTTGTATTGTAGGATTTCAAAATACTTATTCAGTATATCACCAGGATATCCATAGAGATGGGGTTGGACTCACAAAACTACAAATGTACAACTTGCTCTCATTATATTGGTATAAACTTTGGCCCTGCAAAGTAAGTATTGTTTTACTTCATTAATAATTCTCTATTATGAAACAAAATACCCCTGTTGTAGCAAACTTGCAGACTAAGTAAATTTACATTAACGAGTATTTAAGTTTGCTACTACAAGGAAGGAAACAGGTGTATTTAAGTTAAATTAAAAATTAAATCTACCAATTTTTATGAAAACTTATTTGTAAACAAGCAAGCTACATAGCCTAGTTGATTATGTGTGCCACTATCCTGCCAGAGACAATTATTTCAAACATATGTTTTCTTCAATTAATATTAATGGTTTGTTTGTCATTTAGTGTACGACAATAATTCACCATGGTAAAAATGTGAAAGTAACTTATGACAGAGTAAAGCCCGCTTATTTTTTGTAGGGAGATCTTACTCCTCAAATACCTAGCTCCAAAATACACAGCTAACTATCAACTCATCACAACACCCAAAATCCACCCTCCACAGTGTTCCCACCAAAGACCATTCCATGCAAGCCTTACGTTACTTGATCACTGTAAAAACGCACTGTAATGACGCACTGTAAAATTGCAATTTCGTTTGTTTCATAATAAGCTATGGGCTAGTGTTTTCACTGTTTTGTTTAAGATGGTGTCCAACTATGAGGGGCTTTAATGTAAAATTAGGGCCCATTTAGTGGGGTTTCTCACACCATTCATTGTTTCCTTAGAGTTTGTGGGTTGAGTGGAAAGTATTTCTGCTCCGACTGTTTCTCAGACCATTTGACAGAAGAGAATTGTATCATCCCAGCCCGAGTCATCTACAACTGGGATTTCAGGCCATATACAGTATCTCAGAAAGCAGCTAAGTTTCTAAAACAGATAGAAATCTATCCTCTCTTTGATTTGAGCTTGATAAACCCGAAAATCTATGGAGCAGTCCCAGAAATGGCACGGTTAAAGGTAAGTATAGCAGTTGTTAGGAGATTTTATTTTTATTTTGTCTGGTATACCAAATAGGAATGAACTACAGCTTAAAGTTAAAGCAGCGTTGTCCAGTTGAGATGATGAATGCTGTCCCTGTTTTTTTATTGACCAGGTCATTCAGTTGACAGACAAAGTCTTTGTGACATAATCCATTCTTTAAAGTCTGATAAAGATTGTGACAGTATTGGAATATTGTGACTTAAGCCTTAATAATTGATTGGAACTTAATAATGTTATTAATAAGGTGATTTAAATATCTTGTCCCGAATGGAACTGATCGGGGAGCAGATAAGGTGGTTCTAGCTCCTTCTTCCTAAATCTTGCTTAGGTCTTAAAAGACAGTATTGTAGTCACTTTGCAAAGTTTTTCAAAATATCTTGCCTTAGTTATCAAACTGTACACTAGGGTTGGTCAAAAAAATCACTATTATTTTTTCAAGCTGTAATAATTGGAAAAGTTGCAAAATTGTGAGACCAAAACAGGATAAAAATATTAAAAATTTTTATTGTTATCTTCCGGTCGGGCATGTGCTCTAAAGTTTGAACAAAAAATGAAAAACTCATATTTTATCAGACATTTTTACAATTTTTAAATTTTGATTTTTAATATGTAATAGTTGAAAATGACATCTACAAGACACTAAGAAATTTATATTTAAATAATAGTATTATATGTTAATATCTTCCGGTCACGCATCGGCTGCAAATATTGCAAAAAAAAACAAGAAAACTGTCATTTTGTACTAGTCTTATTTAAAATTAATATAATAATTAATATCAAAATGTAATAGCCTACCGAAAATCTGTTTGTACACATTCAGATAGTAACCTAACAAAAATAACAGACAAAGTCAGAATTGATCTTCCAGTAGCACAAATTTACTTTAGCGCGGTGCTATGGAGTCAGTGACCCGGGCGACGCATTGTGATACTGAAGTTTAAGATTCCGAAATTGAACAACAGGATGGTGATGATAATGTATCCCTGTGCTCAAAAACTGAAATTTTCGATTCTAGTTACAGCAACCAAGAATCTTTACCTAAACTCAAAAAAAAGAAGACCTATGGTAGGCGAATGAGGATTAACTCTACTGCATTAGTTAGCGATCATTATGGTATTTTCAATCGTGCTACAAATGCAATAGACTCTAGTGTAGTGAAATACGAAAAACATCAAAACATAAACTTCATTTGTTACAATTCTATGAGAACTCTTCTCACGGTATTCAAAGTTTTTACTTAGATCCTTACAAAACATTACATGGTTAATGTTTACAAAAAAAATTGTACCTCTCTGTGATTATACTAAAAATAAAAATTATGCTAATGTATTATTTCAAATTACAATTTCCTGTCAATGATGTAAAATACAAAACATTATTGACATAAATAAACACCTACATAATTATTAGGCGTTAAACAAAGATTATAATCCACTAAAATGACAGTTAGCTATGGCTTAAAGGAAATAGTCTAAGTAACAAATCTAGGGGGACAAAAGTGAGAAAACGCTTTATCCAGGCGTAAAATTATTCAAACCCATGAGCATTTAAAAATAAGTAAACAAACTATAATAACCAATAAAATTATAAATATATAACACAACAATACAAGATAACATTAACGTTGGTTATCAAACTTGGGTAGAATATTCCTAGCTCAGGGTCAAATCATTTTATATCCGTGAACGGATACTTTACTTTGCTCAAAATGTAATGGCTCGCCATCACCTTATTTAACAATTATTGTTACTTGCAAATTGTTAGAAAAAGTGACTATGCCAACTTCGTGCAAAACTCTAGAGGCTATTGCAGTTGTAGCACTATTGGAAAGACCATAACGTACCGTACGCTAACCAAAACGGTAGAGTTTAAGTCCATCCTCATTTGCCTACCATAGGTATTTTTAGGTAAATATTCTTGGTTGCTGTCATTAGTTTGTGAGCACAGGGATACATTATCATCACCATCCTGTTGTTCAATTTCGGAATCACAATGCGTCGCCCGGGTGTTTTTGTTAAGTTACTATCTGAATGTGTACAAACAGATTTTCGGTATTACATTTTGATATCGGTTATTATATTTTAAATAAAACTAGTACAAAATGACCTTTTTCTTGATTTTTTGCAATATTTGCAGCCTATGCTCGACTGGAAGATATTAACATACAATACTATTATTTAAATATCAATTTCTTAGTGTATTGTAGATAACATTTTCAACTATTACATATTAAAAATCAAAAATTTAAAAATTGTAAAATGTCTGATAAAATTTGAGTTTTTCATTTTTTGTTCAAACTTTAGAGCACATGCGTGACCGGAAGATAACAACCAATATTTTAAATATTTTTACCCTGTTTTTTGGTCTTACAATTTAGCAACTTTTCCAAGGTATTAAAACTTGAAAAAAAATTATTGATTTTTTTCGACCCACCCTAGTGTACACGGCTGCTCCATTACGGTGGTTTTGTGTAGCCAGGTGATGATGATTTAAGTTCCAATTGGCAATGGCAGATATAAGATTATAAAGCTGATACTATTACCGGTATTTAAAAATTTGTTTTGATTGTTTAGCCCAGTCAAATAAAACAAAAAATTGCCATTAGGGTGAAAAAAATCCCGGAGAGTTGGAAGTTTGTTTAAACGTTCCTTTTGTTCATTGGATTGAATAAAATAAAAAGTCCTGATGTGTGGGGGTCAAGCTTGACTAAGGGAAGGGCTCTGAATGTGTATTTTTTTAGTTTTTCGCTTATATATCGGAATCTGTAAGACATATTGAAAAGTGTTAAATATAAAAGTTGTAGCTGACAAAATTCCCTACAGAAATGACTGTATGCATTTTTTCGTAGGACTTAACCGTTTAAAGCTAAAGGTTAAAGAAAATAACAGTATAATAAAATCGTGTTTTATTTGCATTTCTGTTCTTAAAGTTAATATTACTAAACATAATTTTAATGATTACAAACATGGGTCATATCGTTTAAGCTATGAGATCCAGGGTTTCGTCAGTATCATCCACATTCAAGGAATCGTCGTCTACCAGAGGGCCTTTGGTGCACGCTCCCTAACAGTTCCACACATTGTTGAGCAGTGGATCCTCGCTTTACGGCCCCCACAACGTGTTTCACAACCTTTTGTACAACTACAAAAGATTATTGTGAGGATAGCGGCCGGAGTATAAGGATCTAGGGTAGTAAGGGGTTGTAGTTGTCCTTCGGTGCCCGTTCTCCAACCCAGTTAGTGGTAGTTTATCTCCCAGCCTGAATGAAGAATGCTTCTGGCAAATGCAAAGTTTTATTCAATTCATCATCACATTTCTGTAATCCAACGTAGAAATAACTTTAACTTTAGGCTACATTTTTTCTGGTTCTTTCATCAATTATCAATTAATTATCAACTATCAATTCATCAAACAGAGCTATAAGGGGAAAGGTGCAGCTCGTAGCACAGAAGGTCCTCTAGATCCTCGTTGTTTTTCTTTCAAATTGCAACTCGTTAAAATTTCACTACGTTATTAATTTTGCTAGTGCTGCTCATTGAGGCCAATGATAAGACTTTGTCTTTTCGAGCCTGTTTCATCTTCCATGCAAATAAAACACCATTTTAATTTACTGTTATTTTCTTTAACCTTTAGCTTTAAATGGTTAAGTCCTATAAAAAAATGCACACAGTCATTTTTGTAGGGAATTTTGTCAGCTGCAACTTTTGTATTTAACACTTTTCAATATGACTTACAGATTCCGATATATAAGCGAAACACTAAAAAAAGTTACATTCAGAGCCCTTCCCTTAGTCAAGCTCGACCCCCACCCATCAGGACTTTTTATTTTCTTCAATCTAATGAACAAAAGGACCGTTTAAAAAAAATTCCAACTCTCCGGGAATTATTTCACCCGATTAGTCTAATTTAACTGGGCTAGTTAATTAATTTTCGCAATTGATTTGAACAATTTAAATAAACACTATTGTAACAAATCATTTTTATTATTTGGTACAACAAATAACTTGATTCTAGATTTGTTCATAAAAAATCATTCATCCATGACTTATAGCATGCCAATTGACCACATTTGCTACGCCTTTTAGAGATGTAAAATCTAAAGGTTAGATTTTAAAAACTCATTCCTATATAGTACCAAATTATCTATTATTATTTTGAATTGCAAAACAAAGTTGTTGTTTTTCATTCTATAATATTTTGCAGGAATTGCGTGTGCGATTACGTTTCCTAAGTGCCTACCTATTAACTTGCCGAGAGAATCCCATCCAGACACTACAAAAACAAATTTGGCCAAGGGAGTATTTGTATGAGAAGGATCATCTTTATTCTCTTTGGGTGAGTCTAATCATGAACAAGTGGTGGTCGCCAATATTTTAAGTATTTAGTCTGTAATTATTGTGTTAGTGTTTAGAAGACGGACCATGACTTAAACATTTTAAACTCTGAAGGACACAGTGATACAAAGGAATACGACCTTTTGATGAAAGTTTGAAGAACAGGTATTACTCCGCTTATGCAATTAGAACTTTAAATTTAGCTGATTTTTTCCCCCTAGAGATCAAAAGAACTATTTTTACCTTGCAGCTTTACAGCGTTCGCGACAACAGCTGTAGTTGAGCAAAAATAGTACTAACAACAACATTATTATAATAACGAAATATTATATTGTTGAAATAACAAAATTATTTCAGTGTCTAATGAAAGCTCAAGAAAGTTATCAAATAATAAATATTTAAAAAGATAAAAGATAAAACCTTGGATAACGCTGGATCTGATTCAACATATCCGTTAGAGGGACAAACTTAGTAAAACTAAAAAAAACCTTTTAATGAAAACCTAAGGATTCATTTGATCAATATTAGAAGCAATTTAAGTTCATTTTTAAAAAATGCAAAGAGAGAATATTATAGAAGCAAAATTAATGAAATGAAATGAAAATACTTTTTTATTGAGGCGAACATTAGGACCTGGCTTTGACAATATATCTGCTGATTTTCTAAAACAACAAATACATATTTTTATCCTTAGTTTAACATCAGGCACTTTTCCTACCCCCTTTAAGACAGCCAAAATATATCCTCTACAAATCCAATGATTTTTCAAACGTCAATAACTTCCATCCCATATCTATGCTAAGTGTTTTTTTTAAATTTTAGAACACATTGTGAAAGATCAGCTTGTTAGGTACCTTGATACAAACGAAATTGTAAGTAAAGAACAGTACTTTGTACAAGATAAAAATACATCTGACGCTCTATTCAAAGTAAGTTAAAACATAAATGACAATATCTCTTGTAATAGACAGAGCATGTTAGTATTCCTAGACCTAAAAAAGGCATTTGATTCTGTGGATCGAGCAAAGCTACAGTAGACCCCCTCTTAACCGACCTCGTATTAACCGATAATCGGATTATCCGCCTTCGATCGTAAAATAATACAGTTTGCTTTAACCGACCTTGCTTTGAGAGCAGTTCGGTTTAACCGCCGCTCGCTTTCTAGGAATCTCGGCATTTCCGCTCCCACACTGGGCGATGAGAACTGAACCATACGCTTATCTCCACAGGATATGACTAAGAATAAGTTATTTTGTATTGATCACAAAAAATATAGCATAGCCTATTGTCAGTTTGTCATCATCGTTCGTAGCTCGAACACATCTGATCTGAGTTGTTACCTGTCTTGTAACAAAATGGTTGCTTGTATCTTTAATTTCGACAAAAGGTTCTGTACTGTATTACGATGGATTTGGAAAGCATCAATTAATACATTACAGTACTAAAGTTATTAAAATAGGAATTTTATTGACTCTTGCCTAGTATTATAATATATTCCACTGAAAGTAGGCCTATTTGACTTAACCGAACTTTGTGTTTATTTGTGACTTTTATATCAATACGAAAAAGGAGATAAGAGTAGTTTATTTTATAAATAATGCAAGTATGACTTCAAAATAATTATTATATAATTCCAAATGAATAGCACTTGATTATGATATGATTTTAGGGATTGCCCATTTTAACCGACCTTTTGAGCTATCCGACCTAGGTCCGGTCCCATTAGAGTCGGTTAAGAGGGGGTCTACTGTATTGGTTAAACTGTAATGGGCCAAATATTTAGAGGGGTAAAATAACTTTATTTGTAATTACAAACAGTTATCTCAAACTGTTTGTTATTATCACGTCACTACCACATAAGTTAAACAGCTAGACGTTGGCTGCTGTGAAGGCCTAGTCGCGGCACTAAACTGGCATTGTACATAACCTCTAAATCCAAGACCGCAGACGACGTCAGTGTCAGTGTTTGGTTGTTTGACTCCGTCTGTGACAGGCTCCGGGAGGAAAAAGGAGGACGGGTCACCTTTTTGAGTGATTTTGCCGCTTGGATGAGCGTCTCACCCGGAGTCTCGGCTTTTTTTTTTTTTTTTGTAAATTGCTGGCCCATCGGCGGGTGACTTTATTGTCGTCTCGAATTGTGAGGTTGGTGAAGAGAGAAGAGTAAAGAGTTGGTCATTCCCGTCTCGGCTATTCGTTCGTTCGTTTTGAAGTGATTTTGTTTGACTCGTTCTTCGTTGTTTTGATAAATTCTTGCAAGTAACGTTTCGCAAGCTCTGAAAGCTTGAGTTTAAATTTACAGTTTTGTTGTGAACGTGTAGGTACATCGTTTATATTTTATTCGTCGTTTGGAGAGTGGAGCAACAACACTTTTGTTGCATAATTTTAAATTTAACTTACTTTACCAGTTTTAGTTGGCAAAACTTTGCTGAAACTTGAAGGCTAGGCCTGCCTCTTGGATCTCAAAATTATTTTAATGCCCACTATCTGTATAGCAAGTTTTGAAGCTCTATCTTTATTACTTTTTGAAATATTTAACCGTCCCGGAACTTTTTTTCCACCCTATATATGAATACAAGCATTCATCAGGACATTCATCAAGCATACACAGTAGGTTTGCGAATCCATCAACCTAATGAGGCGCGCAACATTTTTAATCTATGTATGAAGGGCTCTTACGGGGCTCTTATACATTATGAGCCCTTGGAGCCTAGCTGTGCCAACACGTAAAACAATTACAAAATTACAAGGATCAATAATTCTGATCTCATAGTGCCCTAAATTTTTCAACTACATTCCCTTTGGATATTAAAAAAAAAATATTTTGAGATGGTAAATAACCGGTCAGCAACTGTAAATGTTCACGGTTATTTACCGTGAAATTAGTATTGCTCTTATGGCGTGCAAATTCCAGATGGCTGCCAGCTTCCGAGGACTCCGTTGGAAAACAATTATAAAACTATAGAGATAATTTCTGATCCCTAAGTGTTCTAGATATTTAAATTACGACCACTTTGGTATAAATAACTTCTCGATCAGCATTGTACATGTTATTAAATTTACGGAAAGTAAATAAAAGAAACATCTTATAACACTTCAACTATATGTTTACGCTTATACTGTTACTCACAAGACGGTAAATATACATAAAAGATGGTAAGTGGTGATCGATTTTGATTGGACACTCTAATAATCATCAAACCCAACAGGCGAATGACGATACTTACTTTGTAATTCGCCTATTGGGTCTGATGATGATTGGAGTGTCCAATCAAAATTGATCACCACTTACCATCTTGTATTTATATTTAATTTACTCTCTTGTGAGTTGTTGCGTAAATATATAGTTTAAGTGTTATAAGACGTTTCTTTTATTTACTTTCTGCACATTAGTGTTTAAAAATATTTTGGGATAGTATATAACTCTTTAGCAGCTGTTTGAAATTAATCCAAGATAGCAACGAACCTCCTATCCAGAAGGCTCCGGCCCGCCTCTTCTGGTATAATAAGATGGCGATATAAGAGTCAATTGCTGGTTTCGAGATCTCATCCAGTGTCCACTGGTCAGTTAGAGTCACTTCTGCAAGGATGTGTTAATTCATCATTTCCTCTTCTATATAGGCCTAAGTTAAGATGGCGATATAAGAGTCAATTGCTGGTTTCAGGATCTCATCCAAGTATCTACTGGTCAGTTAGAGTCACTTCTGCAAGGATGTATTGAATCATCTCGTACCCATGTAATGTCCTGCTCACACTGCTCACTAAGAGGCTACATCTGCGAAATATGCAATAATCCAAAAATCATCTTCCCATTCGATCTTGACACTACTTATCGAGTAAGTATTAATTGTAAGTTTGTCATATCTTCATATTAAAGACTTTTAAGTTTTTGTTCAGTTGTTCATCTTTTAGCAGCCAACAAATGTTATGGACTTTGTCTCTAATACTGTCGATGGTAGGGAGGGTGCTATTATCCCTTCAAGTGCCTTGAACGGGCGAAACAATTTTATTTGAGGTTTGCCAGGCCTACATGTGGTGTTGCTTCTAGGAATGTCGATCATTTTTTCACATAAATGCAGATGTTTAGGAAAATGGTCATAGAAAAATACTTATTTATTAACATTTTTGGCCTAATTTTTTTTTTTTGGAAATTATTAGATTGTGCATTTTAAAATACTAATTTTAGATGGGGTTTAATGAGTTAAAATCAAATATTTTCATGGACAAGACAGACATATGGTACAGTTTATTCTCTTGTTCAAAGTTTGAGTTAAAATAACACAATTTATAATTATTCATTGACATTCAATTTTACATTCATTTTAACCCATTGGAGATTTATCACGGAATGGTTCCGTGATCGGCTGAATAGGCCCAAACACCTTATCACGGAACCGTTTGGTGATGACGACATAGCATTATTATTGATTTTGTCAATTATTAATTGTTGCGTAGTTACTAAGTTTTATGTATTGAAATATTTCTAAAGAGTTATAGTTTAAATAAAAACTTATTATTTAAGAATAAACTTAAAGTAATATTAAGTAGAAAACAAGTAACAAAAAGTGTAAAAATATTACATCATTGAAAGTTGTTATTACGGAACAGCTGACGTGTTTTATTTGTTATAAGTCTACAGTTTTACAATAGAATCGTTTTCTTATTCTCTCTGTCATATTAGACTTTGACAAAGGATATTATTTTTATTTGTACGGTTGACAATATCGTGCAACAGATGTAATGTGATTGTTTACATTCTTGATGTTCAGACGTTTGTGTTTGTTTGTGTTCGTAAATTCAGTGGTGATAATTCATTATAACTTAGTTACACGTTTATTATTATGTTTTAAAAATGGGGGGGGGGCATGCAAATATTGCATATTCTCGAGTGAGATTGACAAACTTTAGTGCGAAAATTACAGTGAAAGTGACGGCGAATTGGGCGGCGTAGGCCTATCGGCGTAGGCCTATCGGCGTAGCCTAGAGGGTAGACAGTAGCTGTAAAACATAGACTATTGTAGATATAATTATAAATTAAAAATTTTATGTAGGGAATTGAATAAAGTAAGGGAAAAGCAAGAAATAGTTTTAAAAAATATTTATACTAAATTCTTTGACATTGCTTTTGAAAAATATAGAAATTCTTTTTTTCTTTTTGAAAGATTTTAAAAATTATTATTATTATAATTTTTTTACTTGAATCATGTTTATTACAATAGGAAATTTAATTTGGATTAATTTACTTACAACATTGACGCAACGGCACTCAATAGGGTTATTGTGAGGAATGGAGCAGAGTTAGACTGGATCCTTATGGTGTTCTACTTTCAACCAGGAAGAGTACACACCAAGTTCCTGAAGAGGGGGTACGGACTACCCGAGTACAGTGGCGGTAGGGTGTTGGGCATTAAAAATAATCTTAAAAATAAAATACTATAAATGTAGCTAAAACTATATTAAAATTGCACAAATGAGAAATCAACATAGGTAGGTTAACAGCTTGACTAACTCAAAATGTATAGTAGTGTTGTCATTTTTGAATAAATGAAAATGATGGCTAGTGAAGCTGTGATTCATTGGTTGATTGTGTAAAATGTACTGAAAATGTAGAATCAGCAGATAGATATTCGATTTGTTTAATCTACAATAGAAAAAAAATGTCAAAACAAACTAATAGTCCAGGCAAATTAGATCAAATATAGGGAGTGCTCCCCAAAAAATCGTCTAAAGCTGGAAAGTGTTTTAATACCTTTTGGGGGTCCCAAATAAGAGTCCTGTGAGTTTGCAACGGATTCTGACGTCTGAGTAAGTTTTGGGAGTCGAAAAACTATGAAAATTTTGCACTTTTTTAAGTTTTTCGCTTATAATTCCTAAATAACGAATCCTACGGAAAATGTTGTTCGAAGGTCTCTTTTAGTACATTAAATTCTGCGTCGATTAGTGTTAAATACGTCAAAATCGGCTGAGCCGTTTAGCCGCTGTAGCTTTTTAAAGTTAGGTCATTTTCATCAACATGGCCAAAAAGTTGATTATTTGACCAGTTTTCGGCTTACAACTCCTAATCGAAGCTTGCTATACAAAAATGCACCTGTAGGTAGTTTGGAAAACACAAAATTCTACGTAATATGTTTTTTACCAATCAATAATGGTAATTGATTGATACCTACTTTGTATGGTCGCCATTTCATTGAAAATAATATTAAAGTTAAAGTTGGAAAATTTTACTAAAATTAATATTTAATATTAATATTTTAATCCATGGTTAGGAATTGAGTTAAGTTACAGTTGAACCCCTGATATCCGACCATGACAGGACCAGGCCATGGTCGGAACAGCCAAAATGTAGGATATTGGGAGGAGCATATCTTGCAGTCTCAGTGACACCCGTAATCGTTTCCCACGATCGCGGCAACACCCGTGAGGATATTCTGCGGTTACGGGAACATCGGTAATCGAATTCTGCGATCGCGACAACATCCGTAAGAATATCTTGCTGTGGTCATTTGCCGTGATTATGGAAACACCCGTGATCGGCCACATTAGGTCGGATATCCCTAGGAGTTGCTTATGCAGATGTCGGAAATGAGGGGTTCTGCTGTATGTCAAGTGTAGTACATGATTCCTGAGCCCATCTGAAAATAGCCGTTATTGTCAGAAGAGTGTAAACACCATTAGCCAAGTTGTATTAGAATTTAAATGAATACCATAAATGTTGTTAAAATATGTGTATAAGAAAAACAATTCAATTTTAATTTAACTTTTTAAATTCTACAAGATATAAGAAAATGCCAACCATACTCCCTGGGGTACAAAAGTTGACATCGAATTAAACACATTGAATCAAATCAATATTTTTATGTTAATACTGTTAAAAATAGGGGTCTGTGGATCTCCGATATTTTCAGGTTGGGTCAGGCTAACAGTTGGCCCAAAGGATCTGATTAGGCAAGTCAAGTATGTTAGCAAGTATGTTTTGGACCAAGCCTGGGTCAAGTCAAGCAGAGAAGAGCTTTTATTTTGCGATCACAGTAAGATAAGAGATAAAAAATTGACTATTTTTATTTTTCCACGATTGCGGGTGATGTTCACAGTTTCAATGTGACCACAGAAGATTTTAACTGCAATATAGGGGAGATGATGTACTATATTGTATAAGCTGACTGTAGTGTTACGATTCCCAAGTTTATATTACCCAAAGTATAATAATCTGACTTGCAGACCCCTAGTTAAATATATTAAATGAGGGTTAATAATTAATTTTGATTTTTTAGTGCAAAAACTGCAATGCTGTATATCACTCCGAGTGCCTTAGAGCGGGCCAGCTTTGCCCCAAATGTCTACGGATACAACAAAGATTGACCTCTCAAAACGACCTTAACCCTCCTGTAGATCCACTCTGACCCCCTTCTATGGACTTCTCTCTCTATATGTAGTAATTATTTTTAGTTTGTTAAATCATTTTTTGAATAGTTTATCATTGTTATAATGTATTTATCGTAATGTTTATTTTAATTGATTATCACAATTTTACCATGGACTTAGTCAGTATCAATTTTAAGGAGTCTAATTGTAGCTGTATAAAGTGTACAAAAGGTATTTGTCTCAAGGATCAGTCAAGTTAGTGACTAGTGTGTGTGTGTGTGTGTGTGAGAGAGAGAGAGAGAGAAAGACGGAGGGATAAATATGTGAGAATGTACCATTTGGGGTGTGTAACAGCTTGTTCATTTCATCAGCTTGTAATTCATTGTTTATTTGTTTCAATTAAATATCAGCCCTTTTTTAAATTAATGTGTAGTATTAATATTTTTAAAATGATTTTATTATACAGGGTGTTTCCAAATTGTCTGGACATATTTTGTGAACTTGTTCCTTGGGTTAAGATAAACATAAATGCCGTATAAGTTAGATTTCTGTTTTGTCAGTCTGTTTGTGATTTTTAAGAATTATTTTATATCTTACGCATTTTTCAAGATAGAAACTTCAAAATTAGTATAAATGTGTATTTTAGTAGGTAAAAAGAGCTTACAAAGTTGACAAGCAACCGAGTTATCAGTTTTCTTTTACATTCGGTTACACTTAATAGGATCCAATCCATAATGTTTATTATGATTGTTATTTTATAGAGCCGTATGGTAGTCCTATTAAATTGCTTAACCGAATGTAGAAAAAAAAACTAATAACTCAGTTGTTTGTCATCTGATTTTAACAAACAAGGTCTCATTTGATTTGGATTTAAATTTTCTATCTTTTTTATCTGAAAAACAATTTTCTTAATATTTACAGTTTTCATGAAATTTGGCATTACAGATTTTAAATGGCTGCCATATTGAAACGGCTTGAGATATAGGAACGAAACTTTGTACGCTCTATTTACCTACTAAAATACACATTTATACCAATTTTGAAATTTGTATCTTGAAAAATGCCTAAGATATTAAATAGTTCTTAAAAATCACAAATAGACTGACAAACATAAATCTAGGCATTTTAGACCCATACTTATATGTCATTTTATGTTTGTCTTAGCCCAAGGAACAAGTCCACAAAATATGTCCAGACAATTTGGAAACACCCTGTATACTTTAATAAATATACATTACATTTAATTACATTACATTACATTACATTGCCTACATTTGATTTTAAAAGCACAATCAGCTTCAAGGCATTGTCCCTTTATCTTTCTTAAGGCTGTCCTTAATTAATCTAATAAATAGAACAAGCAAGTCAGCCTTAAATTAAATCAAATCGATAAATAAATATAAAAGTAATAAGAATAAAAAGCAGGACATCATCTGAGGCCGGGACCTCTCTCATAAAAAATGTTTTATTGTAATTGCAATTGTCACAAACATTTTTAATTATTACCGTATTGAAAACTATTATTTTACGTTGTCTTACCTTAAGAGTCTCATAAATAAAGAAGAGCGTGAGGAAGAAAGGGAGGGTTTTAAAGTCCCAGTAATTGTAGACCTCCAACACCTGATAGCTTAGGAATCAAACAGGATAGTCAGCAGGATGTGGTGAATCATGTTTACATTAAATCACAAATCCTACTGGATATAAAACATGATATGATATTTCTTAAACCATTGCAAATAATGCAAATACGTACCATACCTTAAAATCTACTTTTTGAAGCAAACATACATTTTTTTCTAGATAATTAAAATGGAGTCGGAAGGGAATCTTAAATGAGAGGATTTTGGAGGACAAGGAGTGACAACTATTTATTGAGCACAAGTTCTTGATTTTAACTTGCCACTGTTTTCGCTAGGATGAACGTTTTGAGGTCAGGTTTGTTTCACTATGTTCTCCTAATAGACACCTGTAATTTAATATACTACTCAATCTATGCTCTTATTTTAGATTTCCTCCTTGTAAATAGTTCCCAGTATGATGAAAAAATATATTTTCGCTTCACAAAATAAAATTTAAGGTATGATATATGAGCATAATTTGTTGCATTATTGGCAATGGTTCAAAAATTAAAATGCCTTTCCCAGAAATTTTTAGGACCCTATTATCTCTTGTGTTGTATATAATGTAAAAACACAAAGTTCAAGCTACTTGCATTTTGTATATTTACAGTGACAGAATTTTAATTTAGTTTGACTGAATACTTGTTGATTTAGATAAAATCATTGTGAAATAATGCATTATTTTAATAACCTAATGTATAAATCTTTTGTTTCAACTTTGTAAATTTACCCTACACTTTATTTAAATAAAATATAAATTTAGAATCCCACACAGTTTTTTTGTTACGTGTAAAAGATTGTCTATATTTATTTTTCAAAAGGTTAAAAAGCTTTTGAATGTCTGTATATGTTAGTTTTTTTTTGTGCTCATGAAACTGAATTAACTTTTAAAACATTTTTGTAACATTAAAAACTGTCCTTAAAGATCAAAATATAAATATATGTATGCAATCAGTGGCGGATCCAGAGGGGTGGCGAAGAGGGCGACCGCCCCCCCCTCGGGCATACATATACATATATTTTTTACTGCATGTAATACAGTAGTGCATACAAATTGCGTAAAATAATTTGTCACACTAATAAAGAAATAGTATAAAACTGCCATTTTGGAGACTTGGTTTATATAATTTTTTTTGGGGGGGGCACCCCCGAACCCCCCAAACTCCCTGGTTCGCCCCCCCCCCCTTTGTGACTGTTCTAGATCCGCCACTGTATGCAATACAATTGAATGTGTTAATACAAGATTATTTAAGTTAATAAAACACATTGAGCTTGTGGAACTGTAATTAATTTTTTAGATATGTGTATCGTCGAGAGTTAATGTTAAAGGTAATATTCGGTATTAAAGATGAATATATTTTTCTATTGTTGCTTCTATTGTGATATTTAGAATAGTTTGTATTTTTAACATGATTTGAATTTGTGATTGTTTACAAAAAGAGTGTTACTTTGTCCATATCAATTTTAAATAGGTGATTTTAATGTTTTATTCAAAGATGAAACTAGACTAATAATTATTGTTTCGTGATTAAATTGATTTGTCCTATTATATAAATATTTGATGCCATGGAATTTGTTAATATTTGATCAGTAATAAAAGCCTAAGTGATAAATTGTATTTCAATTAATCCTTTAACAATCCTCTATGTTAACCTGCTTAGAAAAGATGAATAGCTATTTTTTTTTTTATATTTAAGATGTCACAACAATTATTTTGAGCTACCCTTCTATTTTTTAAAGCTTTAGTTGGAGACATTGTGTGTCCTAACCACTATTGTTTAACCTTGAACATTAAGAACAGTAACAGTTTAAATTTTCTCACTAAGAATCTATATGGAAATTAGAACGATGAGTTGATTAAAATAGCCCTGCCACAGCAAACCTGCAGACTAAGCAAATTTCCATTTACCTGGCTGGATTTCTACAAAAAATTAGTACTTACGTTTGCTGCTGCAGGGGAGATAATAAGGTGTGTTTTTTTTTGCAAATTTCCCTTATAGGAAATAAGCTATAATTGAAATATTGATATCTTAGTATGCAATAAACAAATTTGCCAAATGTTATTAAAATATGTCCATAAAAAAGCAAATTAAAATGATTTATTAATTCAATTCTCCATAACATGGGAATTTTTAATTTACTATTATTTAACTACTATGCATGCTTACTTAATTATTATTTAATTGCATTTGTAATGTAGTGTTATTGTAAATTATGTCATCTTGTATTTGCTGATGACTATTGCAAAAACAGTGTAACCGTGTAAAATAAATAAATGAAATTAATTAAAAATGGTTTGGAAAGAAATTGAAAAATTTTATGTTTCAAGGGTCAAAAATGGAAAAAAACAAATTTTTACCCCATAAAACTTCCCATAAATCCCCGTTCCCATAGTTCAATCATGCTGATTCGCAAACTCGTTTGAATAGATGTAGGTTTACAGGTTTATACTGTACTGTAAATATTAGTTTATTAATTCTTAAAAGTAAATTTTATTTGACAAGATCAATCCAGACATCTGGTCAACGATCGCCAGTTGGTAATGGTATACGAAATTTCATCAAAACCCGATCATTTTTGCTTGAGTTATCAAGCTAACTGACATGTACAAATATGAATTTGAATGGATGGTGTTTTTAGCCTCTGGGGACCTCAAAACAAAAAAGGAAATCAGTCCAGGTCCAGGTCTTACCATGGGACCTACAGTAATACAGTAGCTTATTCCCTATTAGGGAAATTCGTTAAAATGGTTTGATTTCTCGAAGAATTAAATAAAAGCCTCAAAGGCATGTTATTTTTACATTTATTGATATACCCTAGTTTAATATAGCACTGAAAGTATTCTATCATATCTCCTGTATATTTAGTTAAAACATCCATTTAATAATTAAAAACTAAATCAGCCAAAGAACCTTTAAAGGGGTAACAGTTAAACCTATATCCTATAGTTTATAAAATGTACTGGAAATTAAACACTTAACAGTTCTGAATCTTTCTTTGGGATCCCTAAGCCCACCATACAAACCCTTTTGAAAGTTCATGTTGATACTACCAAACTGTGGTAGTTTGAATGTGTTTTGTGATTGTAACATAATGCTATCTTGTGCTATATACAGAGGTGCCATCTTTACTGTAGTAAAATCAATGACCAATGTTTGAAAATGTTTATTTAAAAACTAATTGAGTTATTAAAAAACGTAGTACAGAAATAATAGTTCATGTTTTATTATATGTTAAAATTTGAGTAAGTCGTCAACTGTGGTGACTTTCTTGGACTTTTTTCTGGTCTTCCCTTGCTGACTTGCCCCACGGCCACTACTTGCTTGGATTCCACCCATTGCTCCTCTACCACTGAATGCTCCCCTCCCACTAAAAGCTCCCCCCCTTCCCCTTCCTCTACCTCTACCTCTTCCTCTTCCTTTGCTCCTTTGACTTATTGGTGGTATAGACTTCTGGAACTCGATATAATCATCTCGTGGTTCTACATCACTGAGTCCGATGAATTCAAAGTCTTCGCTAACAACGTTTTCTGAAACACCGTGACGAACCAAGTCTATTGCTTTTTCAAGCATTTTCATCGGGAGAGGACGGACTGAAACATATATAGTGCTGAGATGATTTTAGTTAACAATTATTTTCATGATAAAAATTATAAAAACCAATATTTGTAATTTTAAGTAATGTATATTAAAGATATATCAAGCATCTGCAAAGACTATACTACATAATTCTTTTAATTAAATATAAGTCTGGCTAGATATAAGAACTAACCAATTTCTAGTTTTAAGGGTGTAGCATAGAGCACAAGGGCCTAGATTTTTTAGGATTTTTTGAGAGGATAGCAGGCTTACCTGAATGGGAAAGAGTCCAAACTGGCACAGGAAACACAAAATAAAACTTTACACTATATACACAAAACATTAGAATATTTCACTGTCACTGACAGCATTTTCAACTAAGGAAGAGAGAGTTTTTTTCTAGATGTCCTGGCCAGTGAGTTGTTGAGTTAGTGTTGCCAATAGTATGAATTCAAAAAACACAGTTTCAGTTTATCTTATATGCACTATATATATATGAATGAATATGTAAGCCTGCTAGTTGGAGTATCCAACCCAACTAGCAGGCTTACATATTCATTCATATATACAGGGTGTTCATTTGAAAACTTTCCATATCTGTTGTGTGCAAAGGTAAGGCTTTTAACACTTGTTTGTTCTCATTTCCCCCTAATTTGGACATGCCAAATCCAATAAAATTATTTTCAATTTCGAAAAATGCCCCAAAAGGGCCCAATTTGGGGGGTAGGGGTGCTTTTTGAGAAATTTTCAAATGTAAACATGGGTTGTGTGATACATCAATTTAAAGGTCTAATCACACTGACTATTTTGGTGCAATAAAAATGTAATTATCTTTAACCGTATTTACAGGGTGGGTCAAAACGTTTTTAAAAAGGACTTTGAAGTTAAGTGCCGTATTACCCAAACTACTGAACGGAACAGCGCCAAATTTCTTTCCAAGCTTATTCTTGATCTACTCTTTAAGATAACTTGTAATAAGGGCATTTTCCATGTTATCTTCTAATTTTTAAAAAATCTCAAATTTTAAGAATAAAAGAAAGGTGAAAACTCAAAATTCTTAAATTGCAAGGTATGACAAATTTCATACCACGTGAAAGGTCCTTTTTAAACAAACATTTTACGTATTTAAGTTTTCTTTCTATCTCTTACCGTTTAAAAATTGCAGTAGAAAAACTGAATTTTCCATAGTAATATTGTAACTAGTTTTCTAATAAAACAGCCAAAATTCGTCTCTAGACACATTTAATGGTGCATTAACTGAAGGAAACAATTCATAATTATTGATACCCTGATTGACAAACAAGTCGTTACGTTTTAATTTGTGAAAAACAAGTCTTATAGCTGATGAGGACAACCTACATGTGGGCTGCTTCCTGTAGTACCATTGACTAGTCAACGGTGTACTAATTTCAAAAAGTACTATTTTCTGTAGCATCTAATCGAATATGGTGTACACTTAAAAAAAATAGACTTTATTTTTACTTATTGGGCAGAACAAAAGTGTTTCAGGAAAACTGCAAAGTGTTTAACAATAGATATCCAGGTAAGACCTTAAGTCATAAAGCTGTAAATGATTTGGTTAAGAAATTTCTGAAACTGGCTCAGTTCCCAATGAGAAAAAAACAGGATGAAGGGTCCAAGATGAACTGACACAAGTAAAAGTTGTTTGATCAATTTGTAATTAATCATAATACATCGTTGAGCAAAGTACAATGTGTTTTGTTAGAAAACTAGTTATAATTTTACCATAGAAAATTCAGTTTTTCTACTGCAATTTTTAAACGGTAAGAGATAGAAAGAAAACTTAAATATGTAAAATGTTTGTTAAAAAAGGACCTTTCACGTGGTATGAAATTTGTTATACCTTGCTATTTAAGAATTTTGAGTTTTCACCTTTCTTTTATTCTTAAAATTTGAGATTTTTAAAAAATTAGAAGATAACATGGAAAATGCCCTTATTACAAGTTATCTTAAAGAGTAGATCAAGAATAAGCTTGGAAAGAAATTTGGCGCTGTTCCGTTCAGTAGTTCGGGTAATACGGCACTTAACTTCAAAGTCCTTTTTAAAAACGTTTTGACCCACCCTGTAAATACGGTTAAAGATAATTACATTTTTATTGCACCAAAATAGTCGGGGTGATTAGACCTTTAAATTGATGTATCACACAACCCATGTTTACATTTGAAAATTTCTCAAAAAGCACCCCTACCCCCCCAATTGGGCCCTTTTGGGGCATTTTTCGAAATTGAAAATAATTTTATTGGATTTGGCATGTCCAAATTAGGGGGAAATGAGAACAAACAAGTGTTAAAAGCCTTACCTTTGCACACAACAGATATGGAAAGTTTTCAAATGAACACCCTGTATATAGTGCATATAAGATAAACTGAAACTGTGTTTTTTGAATTCATACTATTGGCAACACTGACTCAACAACTCACTGGCCAGGACATCTAGAAAAAAACTCTCTCTTCCTTAGTTGAAAATTCTGTCAGTGACAGTGAAATATTCTAATGTTTTGTGTATATAGTGTAAAGTTTTATTTTGTGTTTCCTGTGCCAGTTTGGGCAATTTCTAGTTTTGTTTATTTTAAAGAGTTTTATTATACTGACCTCTGTAATCTCCGATAAACGCAATGTCCAACCTATAGTTAACCAGCTCAGGATATCGCAAACTTAGATCAGGTTTATCTATCCACCCCCTCGCCTCATAGACCCTCAAGTCTGCACCAATCAGGAAACTGAGACACATGAATTAGGAATTAAAATTGGCACAGTCTCATTACATGGTTTTACTCGTATTAGAAAGGTCTCTACAAGTTTTCATGAAATTTCCCATTGAAATTATTAAATGGTCCCTATTCCAAACTTAATAAATTAACACGTTGACTGCTGAAAACAACGTACAGGCGCTCCCCAGTGGCGGGCGAAGCCCCGCCATGCAACCAAATCAGCGAACGCAATTGGCATTCAAATATTTCAGTCTGACAAATCACAAAAGAGCAGTGGTGACTGTGCTGCGTTACCCCGAGAGTGGATGTAGTTCACTGAAACACCCAAAGGTAGCAGCACTGCACGGATCCGTATCCAGTGTCTTTGTAATGTGGGTTGAAGAGAAAAAATCCCCGAAACCGGGACAAAAGCATTGCCAGACAGGATTTTACGGGAAATTTTAGTACCAACCTACACCAAAGTAAAGCTCGCATTCTAAGCTGGCAGTCTGGCAACGATTATAACATCTCCGTCTGAGGCTAAGCTCACACTGACTCAATATATTTCTGTTGGTCTGGTGCCGACTTTTGTCGGCGCGCGCCACATTGAAGTGCTAGCGACGCCGACTAAAGTCGGCGTTAGCAGTCAACGTGTTAAAATAAAAACTATTATGTAGAACTATTATGTTCTGTTGTAAAGTTTCTTAGCAATCTTTAAAGGAATTGACCATTCTTTGGGAAACAAACTGGTTAACAACTGATTCAATACATACAAACAATAAACAATACCCCCGCCGTAGAAAACCTACAGACTAAGCAAATTTCCATTTACCTGGATAGATTTCTACTAGAATATTCCCTTAAAATTTTCAGATTTATTTTGTATTTAAATAACATCAATTTTAATGAGCACTTAGGATTGCTGACACAGGGAAGGTAATAAGGAGTGTTTTTATTGGAATATTGTTAGCTTAGTAGGAAATATAAAAATCCCCTAGTTTGATAAAAATATATTCATAATCAACCAAACTACAACAGTTTAATTGTTCTCCATAAGAATAACATGAGACTTTAAATTGACAGTTTTTTTTAATTTCCCCTGTAAACCATTGGATATACAACTACGCTTCAGTATATTCAATTATTTGTTTTTTAAGCTCTACAAAATGGTTTAGAAAGAATTCGCTATTTTTTTAGGGTAAAAATAGAAGAAACTAATTATTATCCCATAAAACCCCCTGAAAAATCCTGTTCCCATAATTTGATCATGCTGGTTCGCAAACTCATTCAAATAAATGTAGGTTTACACATTTGTAGCAAATATAATCAAAATCCAAAAATTTTTGCTTGAGTTATCAAAAAACTGTGGGTTATAAATTAATTTAAACGGATAACATTTTTGGTCTCTGGAGACATCAAAACAAAATACCCCCGCTGCAGTAAACCTGCAGACTAAGCGAATTTCAATTTACCTGGCTGGATTTCTACTAAAATATTCCCTGAAAATTGTCAGATTTATTTCCTATTTAAATAACATAATTTTAATGAGTACCTAGGTTTTCTACTACAGGGTAGGTATTCAGGTGTGTTTTTAATTGAAATGTTGATAGCTTAGTATGAAATAAACAAAATTGCCAAATTTTATTAAAATATCAGGGGGGGGGCTGTATACACTTGTAAGTGTATACAACAAGATTGGATTAAAGATTTGCAAAATAGGCTACAGTAGCTTAAAGTTCCCTTTTGATTTACAATGACCTATCTATGAAAACCTGTTTATTTACACAGCTGAGCTATGTGTGTTATGACCCCCCTCTCTGGGACCGCTTTTGGCATTTATATTTTTCCAATAATGAGCTTGACCCTTTGATGTTAGTACGTTTTGTTGTTGTTGTTGGTCTTTTTTACTTCATGTGAGATTAGGAATGATCAAACCATAATATTTCTTGCTCTTTGGAGTGTTTCTGGTTTATAAAAAAATGGTGCATTTAAGGTATATTGTCATTTGATCTCACAAAACAACTTATCATTTAGGAATAGTAATGGTTACTGTTTCCTTCTACTCACTTGTAACCAATATCTGCCAGAAATCTTTCTTCCAAGTGAATTTTCTGGATCTCTCTCATTCTTGAAGAGCATTCCTCCAAGCTTTTGCATGATTCTACTCCACTGTTGTATGACAGGGATATGTAGTACAGTGGGGCTTCTATGCCTATCATTTCATCTGGTCTGTTAGGTGGTAGTGCACCCCACTGACTTCTTGAGATTATTTCTGTAAAGGCAAGAAACATTCACTGTTAAAAGTAGTTATCACTGTAATTTGTAGTAGTGAGTAACAGAATATACATTGTATGTTCCATCAATCAATTAATTCTTTGAAATATTAACACACAGGTTGTATTTAAGCTGGAATGACCTGTGACTAGAGAGTGGAGCGAGATGATATTTGAGTAGCTTTGTTACTGACTTAGCCAGTTATCAATATATTTTTTACTATTATGTCCATGACAATTTAGAGTAAAATGTAGAAACAAACGATACGTCAAAATCCGTTATATTTCCCCATCAGTCTTAATGTTTATACTGACTCCTTTTACAAGAATAAACAAATTGTTATGCTTGTAATTAAATAATTTATAAACACTTTGCTTGGTTACCAATTAATTTTTAATTTGTGATAGTTGTATGGGAATGGGAGAGAATTAGACATGCTCCACCATGCTCTTTGTGCGTGGGTTGATGTTGTCGACGTGCCGTGCCGCATCACGCTGCACCGCATTCTGTGTATTTGTGCCCTTTAGTAGAGTGAAGGTTAAAATTGTTAAAAAAAGTGCTGAAATAGAGAAAACCCCTGCCCCTGAAATTAATTTGTATTGGTACTGACTAACCAAAACAGTTGTCATCATCGGTGCTGCTGAGGCTGTAGTAATCATCAGATGACGATGAACTTTCAACCCGTGTTGAGGTGGATGTGGTCCTTGGGTCAGAGGTGATGTAGGATGAAGTAGATTTGTCTCCGAACTCTGTGTCATAGTTAAGCATTTGTTGCTCATATTCAGAGTCAAGCATTTTGGCGGTAAAATCTGTAATAATTGTAAAAATGTGAAAGCTTCTCAGCACCTTATATTCTTAAAAAAAATCAACTAGGTTAATTTTGAATATTTTTTAAGACATAATCAATCTCTTTATGATAATAAATTCAAATGTTTATTACTTAAATGTTTATACAAAAAATGTTTTAAATCATCAAATAATATGTCTACTGAGACATTTTTTAAATAATAACAATTACGAGGGCTATCCATAAATTAAGGTCTCCACTGAGCCAGGTAAGCTGTTTCAAATACCATACATAGATAAATTCATGATGTCAGTCCAACGTAAATTCATTTGTTATGAAAATATCTACATACCTTTGATTAACAATTTTAAAGTATTTACCAGATTATAGTAAAAATGAAGAAAATGTTTAATTACGATAAATAAAACATCTATAAAACATATATCTGATAGGAAAAAGCAATTTAGGTTATTTCATTAAAGAATTTCATCCACCTTCGTAGAATTTACCTTAACTTATAGCTTTTATAAAAACACATTTTGCTTATTTTCATTTAATGGTGACAATAATTACCAATTATTATTACTTATAATTACGAATTATTAGTAAAAGCAAGTTTTTTAATTTCATGTTCTAGTTTAGTTAATAGTTGACAACATTCAATGTACATTAATATGTGCATTATGAATAAAGATTATTTTGCTTAGACTTTGAATACCTGTACAAACATCACTCGTAGTGAATAAAAATAATATTTTCAAACATTTTAATAGTATGACTATCTTTTTGACCAACTGTCAGAGACAATCCAAGCTGTAAAAAACCTGTTATTAATGTACTTACATTCATTTGTTTTAAAGTTAAGTGCCAAGTACTGAGGGTATCAGTAATCCAACATGTATGAATGATCACTTATATTAACTAGTTAAATTTTTTTACAATTGCATAATACATAATAAAACATCAGCTTATAGATTAACTGGACAACAGTATTTTTACTAGATTATCAAGGGCATCTGTAAAAATAAAAAGATCTCCCCTACCAGTAACAGTGATAAGAGGGGGGAGGATGGGTGGATGTCAGGCAAAGACCTTTCTGTAAGCATTCCATTACTGACTCACAACATACTAAGTTTTATTAGTTTTGTTTCAACTACTGATGTAGACATTTCTTTGTAGAATTTCATATTTCACCTAATCTAGTGCTTTCACGCAGACCACGACTCACGAGGAATATTTGATGCAACACGCATGACTGCAGACAATGTTTTTGACCTAGTTTAGTAGAGAATTTCTATTGATCGGTCAAGTGTCATTTTATCTGTTGTAAACTACTTTTTTAGCGCTCTTACTGTTTTTGTAACAAATTTTTGTCATAAAAGCGTATGGTAATACTCATATAAATATTGTTATGATATCAGATGTGATGTGTGCCAGTTTATCTTTCATTCAACATTTCAAAATCCCAAAGTTATACCTACAACCTCATTATGAACAATAATACTGTGCTGCTGTGTTACATTACTGTTATCTTTCCTACACATCATCTTGATAATAACAAACTGAAATGGCAACTTATTGCAAAACTAACAATCTTTGGTGTCCCTGCAATTATGTCAGCTTGAACAACTAAAGTAGAAAATAGAAGTTAAATAGTAGTACACTATAATGAGAGGCATATTAACTAAGTAAGCAACTGGCTGAAGCTGGTCCATCTAGATCTAGATGGAATGTGTGCTTCTGCTTCCAAAGTCAATGTTATGAGGAAGATGTTTCAATTATGATAAAACTATACAGTGGAAGACCAAATCAAGGTCTGTCCCAGGGGGGGACAAGGGGGTCGTGTCCCCCCCTCTGAAGATAAATCTACTTTCTATCTTTTTTTATGGGTAAACTATTATGTATTAAAGGGGAAATTTAAAACAAGTTTTATTACAAATCGTTCAACCAAATTCATTGTGGAATTTACACTTGTGGTGAACAGAAGCAATGAATATAAACCCTACCTTCAAACTCGGGATCGTTTGAGTCTGACTATTTTTCTGTTTATTTTTATTTTTTTGGAAAACATTTTCTGTTTGCCATGCTCATCGGCACCAGTTGAAGGGGTATTTTTGCAAATCAATAATGCTTGGGAAAAAGATGGGACCTTGATGTGAGAGTCCATTACAAAAATATCAATTCAATTAATCATTTAACAAGTTTTTAAACTGAGTGTATTGTATTTTCTCAGTATTCTTGCATTGTTATAGCCATGTTTTCATGAAATTCCACAAGTCTCAATAATGTAAAAACTTCACATTTTGCATGTTTATTAAAAAAAAAAAAAATGTCTTGAACCTTAAATAATAAACTGTTTGGTGTGTACATACTAGGTTAATTTATTTTTGTATGTGTAAAATGATTTTAAAAGATGCTCATTTAAGCAATTAATTTTCAAATTTTTCTTTGGACCCCTTTTTACAAAGGGTGTTCCCCCTCCAAAAAATAGGTCTAGAAATTCAGTCTCCTTAAGTTGGTAAGGTAGGACTATTTATTTAGTAAAACTTTGGAATGCATTAATTGTTTTTAAATAGGGTTCTAGTTTTAGATATTTGAAGTAAGTCTGTAATCTATTGAACAGTCATTCAAACTAAGTGGCAAACATTTTCAGCAAATGATACATAAAGATATTACAAAATCTGACCTTGATTCTAGGTTGTGAACAATCTATATTCTCATGTAATAGTTAATCCAACTGGGTGTTATTTACAGTTATGCCTCTAAACAACATAGAACTAACCACATTGGTGTGTTTACACTGTTTATCCGTAAATTTAATTGTTGTATAATTGATAAACCTACAACTTATACTAAAGCAACTGATCCAAACGAACGTTATCATCAATCGTTGAACTGATATACTGTTATCACAAAACACCATAAATTCCCTTACATATCTGCTAAAGGTTGTTGTTATTGAAAACAAACTTTTGGTTTTGTGACAATACTTATAAATCTATAAGTACAGACTTAAATAATAAATAAAAAGCCTTTTATTACACATTTCCATTTATTGCATTTCCAAACAACTTTTATTTTAAGCCAATGCACAGAAAAAAAAGATAAATTCAAATAAGCATTTCACTCATTAGATAACATGCCAGTAAAGTTGTCTGTTTTTCTTACTGGAATAAGAACATGTCTTGAGGCCAGAGGATAGGTCGTTATACAGCTTTGGACCAAAGAAAGAAAAGCTTCTCCTTTCAAACTCAAGCCTCACTCTAGGAAAGTGAAGCAGAGGATTTCTATGGCAGGTTCTGTACTAAAAGACCCCCTCCCAGAAGGTGGGCCTCTGTATGACAAGAGCCTTGTTCACGTTATGATCCTGCAATCAGTTTCCATCGTAGACATCCTTGCTATAGCTCTGTATGGAGTGACATGTTAAAATTGTCTTAGATAGAAAATAAAACAAACTGCAGAGCTCTGCGATTTTGTATTTAGTACATGTATTCTCCAGATGTGCTATTTCCGTAAGCGAAGAGACAGTAGGTGAATACTCAGAATACTGATATGACTAGTGCCTACACCAGGCGCAGCTTTGCAATATTCTGGCAGCATACTTCTGTCACTGAATCTATGTCATACTTGTTCCTATTACTGTGGAACCTCGATAAAAAGTCACCCTTGATAACAAGTGTAATTTTCAAAGCCTCTTAAATTTATTCAACCCCTTATCACATGTTATTGCAAACCTCGATAAGTAGTCAACCTTGACAACAAGTCATGTTAAACCGGCCCTATAAGGTTCTTGTTATTGAGGTTCTACTGTACTTATGTTGAAGTTTACTTAGTTTTCAGAAAATTATGAGGATTGTTTTTTAAGTAAAGTTAGTTTTTTAAGTAAGGACTGTTTTTACGTATCATGTCTAAGCTGCAATGAGACTCCTCGCCGATTACTGGCATAATTTGTGAACAGAATTACACCTTTTGAAGCTCTGTAGCTGACGTGTAGCCTTCGCTGTGTGTTTAAGATTTTTTTAAATCATAGAATCTCGCACCATGTGTGAGATAAGGTCAGTGTTACATCATTTGATTACAAGAAACATCAATGCTGACATATTAATCGCCAGATGACTGAAGGTTATGTCCTTAATGCAGTGAGTAAGGCTAAAGTGCGGAAATTGGTAAAAATGGGTGTAAAATGGCCGTGAAAACCTTTTTCCTTTGGGTTCTTCTGTGAGATGTCTGGGTACCCACCAAAAACACATTTTCTTCCAAAATGAAAATTTTCACAGCCATTTTTAAACTCCCTAGCCAATTTATCCACTTCTCCCTCAATGTATCTTACCTCTAATTGCATTAGGGCCATAAACTTCAGTCATCTGGGGATGAGTGTCAGCATCAGATAAATTATGTTTCTTGTGGTCAAAAACGTATCACTGACCTTATGACTCACACGGTGGGAGCTTCAATAACTTAAAAAAATTTAAAAACACACAGTGAATCGTGCACATTAGCTACAGAGCTGCAAAAAGGTGTCATTCTGTTCACAAAGAATGCCATTAAGCGACAAGGAGCCTTGTTTTGGTGTACACGTGAACTACGGAGCTATACACAAAAACAGCCCTTACTTAATAAACCACCCTTGTAACTTTGGGAAAGTAGGCTGTTTTCATGACTGTGTTGCATAACCTAAGTGCCGCACTAACATACTTACTTTATTGTTACTCTTATGACTTTGGCCTTGATGATGAATGCCCTCTGATGACTTTGAATAATGATAATGATGATGAGGAGGCCTGCCTTGACACCATGGCCACCAATCTGGATTCCTGGGACTACAAGGTGTCAATAGTGGTTGCTGACCACCTTGCTGTTGTAATGGAGGTGAACTTGGATGCTGCCCTGGTAAGCACCCAGTCTAATCATTCTTGGCATAAACTTAATAGTTTTTCAAAAAGAATTGTATAAAGTGAAAATATTCCCTTGCTTCAGAGAGAATTGGCCAATACGCCATGTCAAAATA